GGCCAGGGACCCTAGCCAGTGGATCAGTACCTAATACATCGTATCTCAGCTCACTTGCATGACTAGGTACATGCATGCACATGCATGAGTTAAGCTAGGTAGCCTGAACTACGGGGTATGGGCTGAGGGGGAGGGGTGTAGATATATCATGCATTCCTACGAAACTGCAGGATACAAGCACCAACAGCATAAACGCCAAACCAACTAGGTTAAATATTTAGCTCACATATGCACGGGGTGCATGCCCTATGTGGAACACCATGATCTCAATGAACCAAATGAACACAACGTAGGGTTTAGTCTAATCCTGTGACAGACGAGACATCGGAATGGATAAGCGGGCTTCTACGAATGGCCTGTCTTGATGCGTTCTTTGATGATATGGCGCCATGAATGGCGTCCGGAAATCATACTCAGCTTTCCGAATATCTCAGTCCAGGTTAATCTGGATCTAGTAAAACTTCTTTGCTTAAAGCGGCGACAACTATCCTTGGAGGATCAAGTGAACTTGATTCCGGCCTCGCTCATAATGCTTTGCATATAATGTTTCGTTGTCAACGGCGAGGCTCCCTGTCGTGTCAGATTAGGCAACTGCCTTCCTATTAGGGTCGAGAGGAAAGAATTGTGTAAGATGCTGCTCCTTTGAGGTAGCCTTTTTCTTTCTGCCGAATACCTTAACTCATCCTATAGTGAGAACGGTGGGCGTAATTGTTTCCAACCAGATTTAGAAGAATGTGATGTTGTGAGAAGACTAGGTCATGATGCTATCATAGCTTGGAACCCGGTCCTCCATCTTCCATCGTCCCATAATCTGTAAATGACATAAGACAGGCGTATTATCGGTTTATGGCATCGTGTCTCGACCAATATATCCGCCTAACCTCATGGTATTCTCCCCCCTTCTCTTGTTATATCTCCATAATACTGAGAAGCCCACCCCGGGATCACTGAGATAATACGAATATAATTGTTAAATATAGTTATTAGTAGTCTTGATTCAGTCTTTCTCTTACCACCATATAAACCCCCTTTCATTAGAAGTTATTCCTGCCGCCTTATATATGTACAAACTTTACAACCAAAAATTGTTTTTATGGATGGCGACCTTTTCATTCTTAGCTTACAGAAGTTTTTCAATGATAATTTTAATTATCTTGGAAATTTTAAATATATCATTATTTTCATACTGCCAGGACATAATAATAGCTTATGTTAGCAACGTAGAGCTTAAAGAATACGAATCTATATAAGAAATCAAAACTTCGTCTTCGATCTTTTGTTCACGTTTGCTAGCTGGTAGATATTTTATTTTATGAGGGATCTATTAGGGATAACTTGCATGTTAAATGCGTCACCCGTTGCTACCCAACATGGAAGTGACCGAACTTTAAAAACCACATTACATCTCTTTCATTCTCACTCGCGAATCTGAATAAACGCCGCTAATCAATGCCGCCTTCCAACTCTTAGTTTTGTGTTTTTACATGCTGGCTTTCCCTAAGGTTTTATTTGTACTCGCGAGAAAGCTCGATTTAGCAGGGGATATAGCCCCACATTTTACCTGACAAGACTTTTACCCCCTTTCACGCTAAGTAGTATGCGAATGACATATTTAATCGTTATATTTCCAAGGCATTACCTTTGGAGTTTGTAGTAGAAGATAACTGCCACTGTAATCAATCTTCCCAACCCAATGTGGTATCTTTGTGCTCGCAAAGCGTATTCAAAAAGTTTAATTTGTATACCTAGAAGCTTAAGGCTCAAAAGCCTACCATGCAAGTATGTTGATACTTAGCTGTTTGTCATGAGGTGGAACTCAAAAGCAGGGAAACAACTCCGTTGTTCCACAAGGAGCTCTAATCTATCTACGAGGATCTATGTTTATACATTAGGTGCTAAACATGGTATTTGTCCTAGATGTTTCATTTAGAATCATGACAATGTTATCTCTTGAATCTCATGAACTACTACTTAGATTGAGGACTAAGCCAATCGGAGTTTTTAATACCAATAGATTAGCATGTAACCTTTTAACCTAGGTGTTTAACAATTTGGGCCCTGATTTTCACCGAGATACCGATTGGAACCCGGTAAGCAGTAGCTCATCGGGAACCTTTTAGCAACGGTAGTAATTGTATGTCTCTTCCTTCGCCACGTGGGCTTCCGCTCCTTTACACGCGCAGCTGGAGCTTCTCATGTGAACACTTAGCTCACCCAATCTTTTAGCCCTTGACGTTGGGCGTATTAGTAACATGGTTGGTACTTATTTACTTAAGTACCTATCTATATACTGTATCATAAGTAGCCCTCTGATTATAATTTAATTTAATTACCTTTTATTAATCTCATTTAAAATTTTTTAATTAAAAATGTATTATTTTATTATTTAACTACAAGATAAAAATGGTTTAATACTTAATATTAATTAAATATTTACTTATTTATATTTTAATAATAAATTATAATACCTTTTACCATCATAGAACTTACACTACTTAACGCAATAATCATAGACTTGGAATAAAAGGTTAACTCCAAGCCGTCCTTTCTACGTGTGAATATGGTTATGCGTTGTTTATTTAGGTAATATATCGGCTACCTAAATTGTGATGTGATATGCGTATATCGGTATATCGGGCTACCCCAATTCTCACCTTAAGATGTCCGGTAGGTCTTTATACCCTAGCAAGATTCCCACCCCCTTGCAATATTTCCTTAAGTAACAAAGCTTACCACGATGTTAACCGCAAGGGAAGATATGTCCTCGTCAATGCGGCATTCCCGGACCCCTCACATATGAGGGATAATAATTAGATATTTCCAAAACATGCTATGATCAAACCTGCTTTTAGATTATATGAATTGACTATGAGGAGATAGTATATTTGTCTTGTTGGTATTTCATTAGATAGTCTCTCACACAATGTCCGGCAGAAGAACCCAGAGTAACAAGCCTGTTAGCTTTCAACTCCATCTGGTTGTCGTTGGAGCAGGACTAGCTGGCCTTGCCGCTGCTATTAGCACACGTCTCGAAGGTCACCGAGCTACAGTACTAGAGAAAACTACAAGGTTAGAGGAAGTTGGTGCTGGGCTACAGGTTACCCCTAATGCAAGCCGTTTATTCCATCATTGGGGAGTTTTCGATGAACTCAGCTCCAAGGCTGCCGTTCCGTCGTATCTAGCAGTTCGACGATATGATGGTACGCGTATCCTAGCTCGGGAAGGCCGTTATCAAGAGAAGATACTCGAACGATATGGAGCTCCATTCTGGGACCTCCACCGTGCGGATTTGCAGGAAACGTTAGTGCGTCGCGCTCGCTCACTCGGCGTTGATATTCGGCTGGGTTTTGATGTTCAACACGTTGACTTTCAACACGCCGCCGTGGTTGCACAAGATGGCCAGAAGGTACAAGGCGATCTGATCCTTGGTGCAGATGGTTTATGGTCGCGCACGAGAAGTTTCTTGTTACAACAACAGCTAACACCGACACCAACTGGGGATCTTGCATATCGAATTGTATTAAATTTAGAGGATATAAAAGATCCGGAACTGCAAGACTTAGTGTCCAACCCATCCGTCAATTTCTGGATTGGTCCGGAGTCTCACGTCGTAGGCTATTCACTCCGACAAGGTCGCATGTATAACCTTGTTTTACTCCGACCTGATGACCTCCCAGAACACGTGAGCCGCTCTGCTGCTGATGTGGATGAGATGAGGAAGCTATTCGAGCCGTGGGACCCAATGTGAGTTACATTTGGATTTTAGAATTGGTATGTCTTTTACTCACTAAGGCCTATAACAGCTTGAACAAGTTGCTAGCATGTGTGAGCAAGGTGGATAAATGGCGACTGATGCATAGTAATTATATACCCTTGATATACCGATATGGGATATAAGTCTAACATGAACGGTATCATTTAGTCTCCCCCTTAGATACCTGGGTGAATAATGAGGCATCCTTCCTACTGGCGTGAGTTATGTCATTTTCCCCCTCGTGACTCCTTATTGAACACAACTAACCTTACTGGACTTAGGGGTGATGCATGCCATCCAATGCTCCCATATCTTGCGCAGGGAGCCAACTCCTCCCTCGAAGACGGCGCTGTCCTCGGTCGTCTTCTTAAATATGTAACCAATCGCGATAAGCTATCCCATGCACTTGAGCTATACCAACAGCTACGAAAGAGTCGGGGTGAGGCAATAGCAAAGGAAGCATTAGGCCAGGTTAGTTATAAAATACCTAGAAACAGAAATATTTATACACGATATGCTAACTTGCATATGACTAAAGAGAGATTCATTCCATTTGCCTGATGGTCCCTCCCAGGAGCAACGAGACGCTATCTTCCTCGCAAATCTGGACAAAGAACCGCCACCAAATTTCCCTAGCCGCTGGTATGATCGAATCAGGACTTCATTTGTATGATAAATCTTATAAAACTAACGCGTTACTCACATTTAGGACCTGCCCTACAGTGCAGCCGTGGCTATATAGCTACGACGCCGTAGCAGAAGCTGATAAGGCTTATAAGACGCATCCGTTCTGATTTTCGTAGTTGGGTTATTTATAGATACTGTTTTGTTATTTAGCCTACACAACATCTACTACTATATATATACCGACCATTCTCAGCCAAGACTTTGGGCTATATCAAGTAGTAAAGCCTACTTTGTTCCAGTTAAAGTGATGAAACTATCCTAAATGTAGAACTTTCGGCTATCTAAACGGGGTAACTCCCATTTAAGTCACGCATAGGAGATTTCCCTGGTTTCCGGTTGGGCCAATCGTTTACCTATTATTTAGAATTGAGGCGTATTGTTTCCATAGAAGATTCCAAGGTTTCAATGGTGCTGGACAATACCTATAATTACAATTTGTGCGCATTGTTAAGTACTAGAAGATATAAGGATAAATGAGGAAGAGATACTGGTCCGTACAAGAAGCTTTTCTCACCAAGGCAGCCACGTTAATACATTAACAATACAAGTATACAGATCTATCTAAAGTTGTCTACCTAGTCATATTTTAACGAAATATTACCTATGGCATGATGAAATTCCGCAATGACTGCTCAAGTTCCAACACCGATTCATCCAAGTTATCCAATATCAAAGGGACAAGTCTCTGTAGAGGATACCAGCTACTCCTATTACCACTCTTGTCGTCCGGTCTCTCTATCTTAATTCTATCGCGAATATCCCCCAGCCCTTCTTTGATCCTCGTTAACATCCGGATAATCAGCATTCCTATAATAAACATCTGTTCCTCTTCAGGGACCTGAAACTCGTTTACTGTAATCTTCATTGGAGGGGCTGTTATTAAGGGGCCCTTCGAATCATGTCGCTGTCGCGCGCTGCAGTTCACTCCGCTAGGCTCTTTGGAGGATGTCTTCTCAGTACCGGCCGATGCCATCTTAAGGACTCCCACATTAGAAAATGCCAGCTTGTCGTTAAGCAAGCTTTCAGTAGATTCCTGATCCTGTTTCTGATACGTGAGGAATTTCCATACACGTTTCACCACTGTGCCAATACCAATAAGCAACAATTTCAAGGCGCTATAGTCTTCATCCTCCCAGCATAACTGACAACTCATATGAGATTTCCATAGCCGCAAGCATTGATTAGCCACATCCAGCGTAATAACGATGAAATGAGGACCGTGAGTTCGGTCCAGTTCTTTTACATGACATAAGAACCGGGTATGTTGCTGGAGGCAGCTGCACCGAGTAAGCTCACTTCGATGTCCAAATTCCTGGAAGTCAGGTAATAGGACGTCGTTATTGTACACAATTTGAGGGTCATTTTGAGATGTATTGAGCTGCTGTGCCCTTATTACAGGAGACTGTTGTAATTGGCTCAGAGCCATCCATGACTCTTGGTCATCCTACATGTAATAAAATGAAGTCAGACTTGCATAAATAACTGATAAGCTCGAGAAGGACGACTTACCTTTTCGAAAGAGAGACTAGTTGTTATTTCACTTTCCCCAAGGCTAGCAGAGTCTTGGCCATGAACTGTCTCTGGGCTAGACAACGCATATGATGAATCAGAAAATGCATTTATGGGCATGCCTTTAAGGTTCATCGAGTCGTCTTGGTGTGATTGGCCATTCTCCGGAGACTGTTGAGCTATTGCCGTAGGAGGGCAATTATTATTGGATAATCTTTTCGTCTTGATGGTCGAATGGACTGTTTTGCTCCTAGCTGCACCCTTTGGAGGGCGACCAAGTCGTTTTGAGATACTATAATGACATTGATCCCCCGACCTTACGCAAGATATACACGGATTTCCTCTGGAACATTTTATCTTGGCCTTATAGCAACTGTCGCAGGTAGCGCGCACTTTATCAGCGAGAGGTATCTGCGATCGCATTATGAGGCTGGATTGTATAAGAGGTCAACTTGAATCGTTAACCTCACGAGTTGCCCACTGGCTATGATTATTGTCTATATCGAAAGCTGTGCAAGGTGGTTTCAACTATGTACTATCTAAGCTCAGAATAGTGAGAGCTAAATTCCCATGCCGTTGTTATAGCTCTCCCAGAAAACTGGGTAAACACCCTTGCTAAGGAGTCAAGATATCGAGAGGCTCTCGGGATCCGATTTGAAATATACTATATGTGGTAATATTCCTGAAAAATAGCAGGGGTATCAGCAGTTCCGATTGACTATCATCCTATTTGGGAAAGCTTCCCCACGATTCTCCATAACGCTCCGGAAGCAGCCGGATTAGGACTCTCGTAGAAAAGTCTAGCGAATAACCACCACATGGAAATCATGCGTCATAGTTGAGACGAAGAAATATTGCAGTAAGTTTACTCAGAGTAACGCAGTGGGCTCCAGCCTGGATAAAATCCTGATGAACATACTCCGCAGGGAGAATAAGAACCAGGGCCTAGTGATACACAGTAACCTCAGGAGCTTGTTCTTGACTCACTACCTACTTAATCAATAATGCGTAAGAATAATCCTATGATAGGAAAAGCCTAATATACACTTATAATTATAAGAATCAGACTTCGACACTGAATCGTAGTCATTTCATACCCCAAGGCTAATTCTAGACTTCCTATATCTAAAGGTAGTCCCCCGATCACTCTACCCTAATCCAGCGAGACTGCCAAGCGCTGCAATGCTATTCATTGATCGCATACCCCTATTTGACAGCATTTCCTCAGGTGGCGTCATATTTTCCATTTCTATAATATATTATTTTGCTTTGTTAATTTGTTTATATAAGATAGTATGATGTCTACTCACATTATTTCTCAGCCTGACTACTTTCAGATGTATCATGCCATAGCTTCAAGCACCATGTAGCGCCCAGAGCGTCTCTGATATCTGTTTTCATTGATGCTGTTATGACAAGCCTATGTTGATCATATTTATTATCCTCTTATGTCATCTGTTTACTATTGGAGTTGGCCCATAATATGTAATGAATATTTGCTCATTTCTACTTGACATTAAACAGAAGTTCGGCGTTCTCGTAGAATAACGGATTTTCTGCCCAGCTTCTTCCCGAGCCGCGACTTAGACGTCTTCAAACTGATATTACCCAGCGTATCGCGCGATACGGATGTGAGGTAATAGACAGGTATATCGGTCCGGTACTGCCCGCCCAATGGACGCGCAAGGTAAAAGATGTGTCTATTATGACTCTGAATAGAGGTCAACGAGTCAACTTCCAACGATTCGTTCTTTTCTATATTCTCGAAGGTTATTGATGTGGTTTTCTGCGGGATGGCGGTCACATCCCGGCCTACCTGATAAAGCCAATTTGTAGGTTCAGTCTCGGATATTATGTACTGATCCCTACCTAAGTATCAGCGTTATCGGTTTCAAGACATCTTCTCAAAGTCGTTCGGTCGAAGCCGTATAAGAGAATGGGTCTTCTACGATCATTGAGAAGCTGTTAGGGAAGAGTGTAACTAATGCTAAGGGCCCCCTTTTTGAGTAATACCTAGATCTATTTTACTTAATAGTGCTTACATTGCCTGGGGTTCTACTTATGACATGGAAGTTACATAAATTGTGACGTAGGAGCAAAGCCCACATCAGCACAGCGGTGGCATTGATGACTTCTTGGGCATATTACATATACGGATGAGGGCCAATTAGAAGATCCATAGTGGGTTAGTTAGCAGCATCGTTATCACGCTGAACATCCCTGGGATTTTAATCTTTTCTTGGCGTCTCTACTCACACAAGTATCTGTATCTTACAGAATCCCTCAGATACTTACCCAATACAACAACAATTATGATGAATGCAGATCATACCACAAATATTCTTAGCCTAGCAGCAATCATTGATTGGCGAGCCCTGTTAAGTTGAGGTCGTAGGGCAGTAACCTAGTCATCTTACGCTTTGCTTAGGATCTCTTAAAAGATCTGCAGGACTTCCTCCTGTGTTTATTTCTTGGCTTCTTAACCCCAGCACGAACTTTTAAAGGCCAATAAATTTAACAATTCCATTCTGGACCCTGGTAACCGAGCCATACTTCTTTTTCAGCTCGCATGGGATTGGTTTAGTGGCGCAGCGCATTGCGTCTTAGAGTCTTATAAACTTCATCGGTAATAACACAAAAGCACAGCCGCAATCAGGGGAATTCGTTCCGTCAATTATACATAAAGACCCCATAAACAACCCCAATCAATCTGATGACGTGAACATTAGAGAAGCCCATGCTCATCGCATGATAGCAACCAGCTATATAAGAAATAAAATAAAAATCGAAACCCGATGGTCATGCAGAAGCGAAGATCTCACAAGAAATCCCGCAACGGCTGCCAGAATTGCAAAAAATGGCATACAAAGTGTGATGAGCAAGGTCCACCTTGCAATAACTGCATACTTCGAAAGGCTACTTGTGTCTACAGTCGATCTAAAGCTGAAGCCTTCAATGATGGAAGCTCTCTATCTATGCGTCCTAAATACAGGACCGTGGCAAGATGTCCTACTGGTGTTGAACGACCACGAGGTGACTTAGGGGCATTGTGTGCGGCATACGGGGGGCCTACCAGACTCCTAGAGCTTGAATTAATGAACCAGTGGTCAACGCATACATACAAATCATTCTGTGGCATGCAGGAAGATGTGGAATATTTACAAGCGATATTACCACGGTCAGCCCTCAACTACGACTTCATGCTGAACTGCATATTTGCTATATCATCTTTGGAAATAGCGAGGACTGTTGGGGAAGCTAATTCCAGGAAGTACGTCAATGTGGCGCTTGAATACTATAATCGGGGTAGCACCTCATTTCGAGCCCAGCTGGGGAGTATGAACGCCGAGAACTGTCACGTCTTATATATGTTCTCCGCCATAGCCGTTGCCGTACATCTCTCCACACCACAACGTGCTACCAATATACTCGATCTGACATCAGTGGCTTTCGACCTAGTCAATGGTAGCACCAGTATTGGAATGTTAGGGATGCCATGGCTTCTTAACAGCCCATTCCCGCTACGCACCATGCTAAGCCGCATGGGTGCATCAAAAGATTTAATAGATCCAGATATTAGAGCCGCCTTAGCTAGGTTGCTCGAACTCAACAATAAGCAACACGCAGGTACACCCAAACCGATGGAAAGCATCGAAGAGACGGGAATTATCACCGTAATACACGACTACGAATTATACCAATCAGTAATCCAAGGTCTAGAGATGGCTTACGCTGAGGAAGCAGGAGGACGTTTGGAGGGATTCGGTTCCGGATTTCCAGGACATGCGGGGAAGAAATTCGCATCACTGGTCGGCAGGCGTGATCCGTTCTCATTGCTCATAGTCCTGCATTGGACTATATTATTAAATGAAATCAACAGCAGGTTTTGGTGGGTGAAGTCACTAGCAGCGCCGCTTGGCCAAGAGATTGCAGATTTCTTATGTACCAAGCACCCTGCTTTAGCCATAGAATGGGCCGACGCTATGTCGTGGGCTCTGGGTCGTCTTGGCCTGCCAACATCTCGGTCACGAGAGTTATCATATAACCAAGAGTTGATCGAATGGGAACAAAAGGAAAGAGCCTCCCCTCATCCCATAATGCAATCTAGCCAAATTATTTTTAAATAGAATAGTCACAGAGGGCTTGGAGAAACTAGGTACACTAAACTAACTCCCTTGTCCATTTAAATACGAACCATCTCTTATCCACTTACTTGGCTGTTGATAGTTGAGCTGTATGTCATCTCCACGCAGTTATTTATATTTACCTAGGTACCTTACCTGGGTAGATAGATAGATAAAAAGTTTGAAGCCAGTTAACCATTGTTCCTCGTGGGTAGCGACCGGTCCAGTGGGTTCATTAGGTCCCGGATCACCATTTTTCTCGGGTTGGGGAGACATGTTCTCGCGTTCGCCTTGTTCTAGGGATTGCCACCTGGTAGATGATGATGATGATGATGTTGACGCCATTTTGCGAGGAGACGTTAGGTGATGGCTAAGCGAAGAATCGCAACATAAGCAGCTGCCTTTTGCGAACACGCTTAAGTAGGTAGACACGTTCAAAGAATTTTTATAATAACGAAGTCCATTGCGAGACATGATAGTCGAGACTAACAAGAGGGCATAAGGGGGCTACTCGGATTTCGCCTGCCCAGCATTCAAATTCGAAAATCAAAATCAGATACACCAATCATTTACCTTGCTGCATCAATCTCAATTACTTTTACACTACACGTCCAGATCATTCCAAAGTAACTAAGCGAGAATATATCTTGCGTAACTGGATCTTCATCAGATACATCTTCTTCTAGCGTAGACGGGCTTTTTAATCGTTCCGCTTATACAACACTATTGTAAAAGTTACCCCGAGATTCATAATTCTCGATTGCAAGCCGGGGACAAGACTCCGATTCCTAGTACATGCGATCTTACATCCATTCAACGCAATATAGTGAAAGCCAATGCGCCCCCTTTCTACCTCACAGTAAAAGGTGGAGGTATTAGCCAAAATCTGGACTCGTCGATGTACCAGTCCTTAATATATTAAGGGGTAGCTAGTTCGGGGGACTATAACTACGCGCTGTATAAATGTAAAAGTAGCACCACTACCACAATATAAACTACCACAATAGAAGCAACGGAATCTAGACCGGTTTGTATAGTGGCATACCGTTTCTCTAGGGCTTACATGGGACGCTTTCTTTGATGTCTTACAATTGTGAATGTAAGCTTTCAAGATATGTATATGTATAAGTGGGCTCTCTCACTCCATCATGCGAGGCTTGCTGGTTCGTCTTCTCGATGATCAACTGCACTTGTACTTGTTTTACAAGTATCTCATCATTCGGACATTTGTTCTCGTCGCCTAGTCTTAGGAGGCAGTCATCCATCCATGTGCGGTGGGCAGTTGTAATAGACGGAATGTAAACAAAGGGAAAATATTTTAACTTGTAAGTCATGAAATTCGAAAGATATCCCTCTGCTTCGGCTAAGGAGGGTTCATATGAAGCCGTACAATCAGAATCCGTAGTCTAACTCATTATATTATGCATATGGTCATTTGAGTCAGTGGAAGGTGAACCTTCATTAGATTGATGATGGGAATGTGATGGGAATGAGCATTAAGGTCTGCCTGGATACTGTTATTAGGTAGAGAAGCGCCCATAGAGGCTAAGGGCTGGGGGGATACGACGGCTGAAGCACCCGAAGCACCGATTTTGATAAGTGATATCAATCCATCCAGCTTCTCTTCAAGTCGCGCCGTATTCTTCGTTTTGGTCATGGCAGGCCGTTTGTAGTTGCGTCGCCGAACCGACTCTCCCGGGCGACATTCTCGATTTAGTCGATAGCACCTAATTCTATTAATTGTCTTATTCGAAGGGAGGGAGGTGAGAGTATAACTACCTCTCACAAGGACCTCCAACTGGACGAATAATACACTTGCATTTGGACTGGGCGCAACCCGCACAAGCGTGACCGTAAGGTGCCGGAGTACCAGAAGGGGTTGATGGGTTGATGGGTTCTGATCCATGTTTGGCCATCAGGATATTGATACAAGAAGAAGACACGTTGATCTTACTTTAGGTTACTTACCTAGAGAGAGCTTGTGTGTATGTTCTCTTTGGTGATCATGAATAATTCGACTCTTCGTTAATGTTCAAATACCGGCTTGTCGCTGTAAAATGTACCTAAGGTATTGATAATCTAATATCTGCTTACCTCATATTCTGTTTAATACATACCATGAATATGAGACGGTTTAATGAGCGGGATCGATTGGATTTAATTAGACAATTCAGGTAAGCAGTTATGTATGGCACATCTTTATGAAGCACAATAATTAAGAGATGCAAATATCAGCTAACAGACATGGTTGAGCAAGGCTCAGATGCAAGATGGCCTTACCATGCGTAATTGGATATGTATATGTCTTGTAAGAGTATGAAATATGGTCATTAATAATTCGTCAAGTTATACTTGAAGGATTAGATGAAAGGCTTCTTCGAGGCTCCGATAAGTTGCTTTCATACGATGGAGACTCGACTCGAGTGACGACTCTTACTTAAAGTAATTAGTGTAGATATAAGATATTTCTTACAGTTACTGCGACTTTAGCTACGTAATTCGTGAACACCTTAAGAATGATTCCTATAAAGAGCCAACTCGTCTTGCTCTAGCAATCGACCCATATAGTTTCCTAAACTCATTCGTAATGCTAAGCATAAGATATCGTACAACCTTTTCCTACCTCCTACAATAACCATACATAATTGGATTGCCACCGTCAGGAGAGGGAACATATAGAATCTTAAGGGATCGGCGTTCCTCAGTGGAAATGACGTTTAACCCGCGGGTCGGACCGGATCCGCATGGTCTTTGATATTTTACCCGGCCGAACGGAGCTCTGCCGATTTCCCGGGGAAATCTGGACCACGGTCGAAGACAGGTCTGGCCTTTGTGTATTATGTTATCATCTTCCCGGTTCTTCCCGACGATGCTTTACTACTGCAACAGGACGAATTAGGTCCCCTGGCACTAATCGTTATCCCATGATAGCGCTTGATGACCTCACGAGAAGTAATTGATAACGTCTTGACTCTGATTTGAGGGCACATTATCAGCAAGAAGCCCCAGTTTTTTCTATTATACATAGATGTTGGAAGATGGTAACTACATGATCGCATTGAATATACTAATAGTGCACAAGTTCACGTGGCCGTCCGAGTTTTCTCGTAATCTTAAGATTTAGGTACCTAGGTAGGTATCATCCATTACGTTGTACAATACAAACCAACTAAAGACGATATTTTGATCCCGCCTCTATCCATCGTGGCTCAGACGATTCATGGTTTACGTAACGAAGCCAATCTAAAAGAACCATATGATCTTATCATTCCTTAATCCTAGAGGTTTGGATACGATAGTTATTTGAATAGGACCTACGGATTAGAATACCCAGACCCAGAATACCCCAGAAAGACGGAAGATATCGGAATGTCTCGTATTCCAACTAGCCCAATTACGGGATGAACTTCGGTAAAGTATAATGGACGAAAGGGGAAAGACACTACGTACCCAGGCCTTAGATGAGCCTAGATTTATGAACGGCACGTTAGATGCGGATATGCGACGCAAGGACGATTGCGCAGTGCACGTCGAGTCCCAGTCTGCTAATTGGTCACACCGCCGATCATGGCAGCTCGAAAAAAGACCTTACCCAAGTCCCGAATGATCCCCATGCAGCAGGGTTGAACGGGATGGAAAATATCGGATCTCTATTCGTGTACATATGTACATTTTCATGCAGGGGGCATTATCAACAACTTCCGAACATCAGTCCTTTCAGTTGGTAGAGAACTTTATAAGGTCTGGGTACATAATATCATAGGGTGAAACCTCGGAAAGTTAAGGGTTTAATATCGAAACATAGATTCTCCGATAAGACATGTGAAAGTTCAAATGTTGCACTTCAATCATGTACATGTATGTACCTTAGGTGTGTAAGAAGATAAAGATATATTGATGGTTAGTTTGACTCTCCTAATAGATTTATACCTAACATGCCTAACCTAAATACTTAATAAAGTCGTCTCATGTTTGAATCTACCTAACATAATACAAAAGACCTCGAATATTTCCTTTTTGCCTAGTTACATGTATAGGTAAGTAAGTAATTTTATACCGACGTCATTTCTTTATTAACTAACTGGCATTAGTTCCGACGTAACTTCATTTAAGTCTTGTATAATAAATTCAATGTTCCCGAGGCTCTTAAAGGTACATCCTAATTGTAGCTTACCTTGTCCTGCCTGCACATGTGCTTGTCTCTTGCCCATGTACCCGGGTCTACCCTTCTAGTTAGCCTCCATGTGGGGCTATTGAAAAGACGGGGAAGTACGTACTAGTACCCCGCCATTTGCCGATTTCTCCAACTTTCATTCCTACCGACTTAAAAAAAAAATTCGTGCAGGTGTTTTACAAGTCTGCAGTAACAATAATATGGACAAGATAATTATCTGGAACCATCGGCAAAGTTATAGTTACTCGGGTCAAATAGGTAAACACGCTACATTTCGCGTACTAAGTTATGTAGATCCTGAGATCCTGATGCACAAGCGACGATAACGATGGGTAAACTCAAGGCCGACAGGCTATAATCCTGGTCGGGATATTGATAGGTGCAGTAGGTTACAGGACAATTACAGGACAATTACAGGACATTGCAAGGGTTGGGAGTTGGGGGAGGCTGAGGAAAATAACGGAATAGAACCAAAGTCAATTGCATATGACACCACACACCACCAACTTTCACCTTCTAGATGCCGATCCACCTAGGTTAGACTTGCAGGCTTCTTGGAACAAACCTCTAACCTACCTCGTTCAAGATCTCTTACGGCTTGCTTTACGCGCTACGCAACGCAACGCAACGCCACAACATCCTTGCTAGGGTACCGAGACAAGAAACAAAGAAAAGTCCTGTTCAGCTCTTCTTCCCGATGATGCAGGGTGGCCCGCTCCGGTTTGAATTCGTGCCTTCAATGCCTAATCAATGACAACGAAACTGCTGGCCAGTGGAATGTCTCGCTCAAACTTCGCCATCTCCACATCTTCCTTCTCTCCTATATATCCTCGGGCCCGTGCCATGACTAGTAGACCGAAAAGTTACCTTAAGTCTACTTCCATTGCCGGTGTTTTGTCCACTACCCCAGTTAATCAAATTAGATATCGATATTCCCCGTTTGTCTTCGGCTGCTATTGTTCCTTCAGCTGCTATAATTGTGTCGTACTCCGAAATTCGTCCAGTTTAAGAACCATGAACGACCCAGTTGTCAGAACCGCTTCTCCCTACATCGATCCCGCAGTAAAGGGTCCAAAGTCTCAGCAACTCACCAATGGTCATTCCCATTCTCTTCTTCAGCATAACAAGAGTGAGTTGACCTCGAGAAAACCCAGGAGAACGTGTTATTCCTGAATCCCGTAGTCTTGGAAAGCTAACATTACTATTCTAGTGATTTCCAACAACAAAGTCAACAAGACAGCCCTTCACCCTGGTGGTGTTGAGTGAGTATCCCTTTTCCCAGGTACACAATGAACAGAGAGCTCTTTGCTAATCTACCCTTTGTAGACCCCACCAGGAAAGGGAGCACACGGAGCTAGGTACGAGTCAAGTCGTTTAAACTCAATATTCGGCACTACCCGCCCATCCTTTGTTCATTTTCCCACTAACATTAAGGTTAGAGGAGGAGCTGCACGAGAAGGCACACATCGACTACGATAGAGTTGCCATTGTAAGCCGCCACTATCATGAAGATGTCTATTAGAAATCTAACTAACGAAATAAATAGATTCCTAACCCTTCAGTTGCTGCCTTGTACGAAGATGCTCTTGTAAGATGACCTCCTAGACCAGGTCACGCGACCAACACCTAACACATACTAATGGAGCAATAAAGGTTTATGAGATGGGCTCGGCTATCGCATCGAGCGGTGCGTTGACGGCCTACTCTGGTGCAAAGACCGGCCGGTCACCTTCAGACAAGAGGATTGTAAAAGAACCGTCGTCAGAAAACGATATCTGGTAAGGATTCCCATGTCAATCACATGCATTATAAGATGATAACTAACCTGTTTTCAGGTGGGGACCCGTTAATAAACCAATGGCTCCTGAGGTAAGAGGATATTCGTCGTCATTATACGTTGAACTACCATCAGAAAGCACACATCTATCTCCCATCGTTCCCCTGTCCATTCATGGACCACCCACTCCTCCTAGAAGCAAACCTTACAACGTCGAGGTTGTTGTTCTCAACCTCTGCTTGGTTTGAGCATGACGACCTCTTTGCGTCACAGATCTTCCAAGTTAACCTCAATAACCATTATATTGAGTTTTTGGTTGGTTGTTACCCCAATTGCCTAGATTCAGTTTGAATCACGCCTCTCGAGAAGTCTCGTAGCGCCTAGCCTAGACCTGCTGAGCTGGAAATGACCCCTGTTATTGGCGTCATCTGAGGCTTCATACCCCGGGCAGCTCGGCCCAGATCCGGCAATAACCTGCACCCCGCCTATCCGCACTTCCACAAGGCCGGGGAATTCTCAGCCCCACAAGAATCACACGTGCCAAATTTATCCCCATCATGAACTACATCTAAGACGAATTTGAGATGGCTAACATAAAGATGACTTAGGTATGGAAAATCAACCGCGAACGTGCTGTCGACTACCTGAATACCCGGACGAGAATTTATGTCATCGACGGTTATGCGGGTTGGGATGAGAAGTACCGAATCCGAGTTCGAGTTATCTGTGCCCGTGCCTACCATGCTTTGTTCATGCGCAACATGCTTATCCGCCCTTCGCGAGAGGAGCTGGAGCATTTCCACCCCGACTACACCATCTATAATGCCGGAACTTTCCCGGCTAACAGATATACCGAAGGGATGACCTCGGGAACTTCGGTCGCCATTAACTTTGCCGAGAAGGAGATGGTCATCCTCGGTACTGAGTATGCAGGCGAGATGAAGAAGGGCATCTTCACCGTATTATTCTATGAAATGCCTATTAAACACAATGTACTTACTCTTCATTCCTCTGCAAACGAAGGCAAGAATGGCGATGTCACGCTTTTCTTCGGCCTTTCCGGAACTGGCAAGACAACTCTATCTGCCGATCCTAACCGAGCTTTAATCGGCGACGACGAGCACTGCTGGAGCGAGCGCGGCGTCTTCAACATCGAGGGCGGTTGCTATGCAAAGTGCATCGGCCTCTCGGCAGAGAAGGAGCCAGATATTTTCGGCGCTATCCGCTTCGGCTCTGTTCTCGAGAATGTTGTCTTTGACCAAGAGACCAGAGAGGTCGACTATGACGACGCTACCCTTACCGAAAATACGAGATGGTGAGTTGACTTCCTCATAATGTGTTGTGATCAAGCCGAAACTGACAACTTTTAGTGCCTATCCCATTGAGTATATCAACAACGCCAAGATCCCGTGTCTGTCGGAAAACCATCCCAGCAACATTGTCCTATTAACCTGCGACGCGCGTGGCGTATTACCACCGATATCAAAGCTCAACAGCGCACAGACAATGTTCCATTTCATTTCCGGTTATACCTCCAAGATGGCTGGTACTGAGGATGGTATAACAGAACCTCAAGCCACTTTCTCATCGTGCTTTGCTCAGCCTTTCCTCGCTCTGCACCCTATGAGGTACGCGAAGATGCTAGCGGACAAGATAGAAAAACACTCAGCGAATGCTTGGCTTCTGAATACCGGTTGGGTCGGTGCCGGCTATATCCACGGCGGCAAGCGCTGCCCGCTCAAGTACACTCGCGCAATCTTAGATGCCATTCACTCAGGTGAATTAGCAAAGGCCGAGTATGAGACGTATGAAGTTTTTAACCTCCAGGTTCCCAAGACATGCCCCGGAGTGCCTTCAGAGCTGCTCAACCCCAGGACTGCCTGGACTGCAGGGACAGACAGTTTTAGCGAAGAAGTCAAGAAGCTTGGTGGACTATTCGTCGAGAACTTCAAGAAGTACGATTCAGAAGCTACAGACGACGTCAAGGCGGCTGGACCGGCCGTTTAAAAAAAAATACAAGACGCTCCACGGCATCTTTTCTTATTTATGATGTCTTCTTTTTCATCAGTTTGGAGTTGAGCATCTGGCATGATTTTAGGGAATGACGCATCCGCGGAATGATAACCACGGTCGGTCTGCGCAAATACACCGGATGCGAAACCAGACGAATAAGAGCTGGCTGTATAAATCGAACACGAGGATACCGAGTAATTATACACGGCGTAAGAATGCTTTGGTGAAGCACTATCCATTGTCGGGGTGCAATCGAAATTAGATAGTCTTTTCCTTATGAAACAAAAGTTAGGATATAATAATCCAAAGAAATTCGTTTCACTATTTGATCGTATGATTGTATGAGTGACCTTGTATCCGCTGGTTAGTAGCTTTGAGAGTCAAGAATGTCATTTTTATATGACTATTCTGTACTCAACAACTGAATTCAATACAGAACCCCATAAGGTCTTGAATAGTTGTGACTCTATTTAGATAGGTGAGAGGTTATGAAAAATGGTTTAAGGCTATCATGTTTTCGATTCATTTCATCGATGATATTGATGTTGATGGCAATGAAAGTTGCTATATCTTGAAAAACTTACATGCATAAAAATGAATAGGCAAAGGTGGGCCAGCGCTACACGTTTAGGTGCATACATTCATACATACCTGTTAAGGTATTTCTGTCTATACTGTGCAGATATACGGTCAGATATACGGTTAGACAGTGTTGGTGTCTAACGTAATAAAGATAGATCCTAGGTTAGTCCTTAATCCCAATCCTAATCCCAGTAAATTGAAGTGGGATGGATACCTTAAGGCTTAACACGACCGTCAACTGGTCAACTGGTCAACTGGTCAACTGGTCAACTGGTCAACTTCTTTCTCAAATTTTATCTTATACATACGCGACGCCCCAAGATTTGTCTACGTTGCGGGTGAAATATATCTTCCAATGCGACTAGTTCGATCATGACAAATCCGCCAAAATGGACGGAGATTGGGACGAGGCAAGTATTTCTTATAATCAATTCGAATTGGCTCGAAATCGACAATTACATGCGAGGATACATGCGAGGAGGGGCTAGATTTGATTCAGATACTGTCAAGCTACTCCGTTGGTGCAAGGCTGACTCTATTCTATCTTCATAGGTCCATCGCATACCTTTCCCACCACCCGGTCTCCGGGCCATGCCGACACCTGTCACTGTCTTAGCCTTCGATACTAGCCAGGAGCTCTTATGGACTGGCAACGAATATGTACGAACGATACCCCTCCAATTCTCCGTCCTCTTATAACCAGGCTGATAGCTATCATAGGGCCGAGTATCCTCATTTTACGGTACAAAACTACAGCCATACACATCCTTCAAAACCCATACTTCTCAAGATGGGCCGGTTCGACAGATCCTTTTTAACGACAAGGGCGTTATAGCTCTGGGCTCCCGCGGCGTACATATGGCATTGAGAAGAGGTCCACCCTTGTGGTCGATTAGGTAGGTTCCCTTTCCCCCCATTACTTCCATTCTGGAAGGCTTTCGATCAATGCTCATTGAAGGAAACGCAGGAACGAGGATATGCAGGAACTACGGTGTATGAGCTTCACGTCGAAGGGCACTGCCGAGATACTAGCCGCCGGGGAGCAGGACAAGATGTTTGTAATCGACATAAATAAGGGCGAGATAACTAAACAAGTACAGTTGATTAATCGGTATATATTAAAATCGTGCTGTTTCTAATTGCTTATTAGTTGCCCACCGAGTACAAATACACGATCATGAGAAGAAGTCGGTATATATGCGCCGCAACCTCTACTGGTGCCGTCCACATAATCGACCCTGTTAGCTTTCAGGTCATCAAAATATGGAACGCGCATACGGCCGCAATTAATGACATGGATGCGCAGCACGATTTCATCGTTACCTGTGGATATTCTATGAGACATGGGGGCAATTACATGCCCGACCCGTTCGTCAATGTGTTCGATCTAAAGAACATGATATCTATGTCCCCTATCCCATTCCCGGCCGGTGCTGCTTATGTGCGAATGCATCCTCGAATGTCAACGACCAGTATTGTCATGTCACAGATCGGGCAGATGCATGTGGTTGATCTAATGAACCCTAACACTAGCAATGTGCGTCAAGCAAATAATCTCAGTTACTTCTCAATGATAGAAATCGCTTCTTCTGGGGAGGCGATTGCTCTTGCAGATGCTGACTGTTATATCCACCTCTGGGGCTCGCCGAGCAAGATTCATTTCGCTGAATTCCCTACCCCGATAGAGACGGCGGATTCCGGGACGGGGCCCCGGATCGAGTTTGATTCTCCTGATACGTAAGTGTACTTCAGCCTATATGGGTTCGTTTGCTGACAGAATACCAGGCCATTGAGCGCTGTCGGCATGCCATACTATAGAGAAGTATTGTTGTCGGCATGGCCAAGTAACATGATCACAGAAATCGGTGCCCCTCCTGTTAAGATTGACGCACAATTCTTGGCAACGCTCCAGGAGAGAGACTGGGGTTACTTTGGTAAGAATACTCGACCGCTACGGAGAAATCAAGTCGAAGATACCCGAAACACCGAAAACTCCCAAAGCTCTCTAAAGCCACCAAAGTTCTTAAGCGAGAAGGCCAGAGAAGCGGCAAAGTCTCCGGCCGGGACACCAGCTCCCGAAGAAGTTATACCCGAAATTCCACAGATTTTACAAGATAGCAAGCTCGAAAGCCTAAAGATTGAGGTCCCTGAGTTGTATCAAAATATTGAAATAAAGTATAGTAAATTCGGAATTGACGATTTCGATTTTGGGTAAGTTGGTTTGCTGCCCCTGTGCGGCACATGCTGATAGAAAGACCAGTTATTTCAACAAAACGCAATATTCGGGTTTGCAGAATCATATTGTTAACGCCTATGCCAACCCGCTACTACAGGTGATGCATTATACACCGTTGATCCGAAATATTGCTCTTCAACACGCAGCGACGGCCTGTGTAGATGAGTTATGTCTCCTCTGCGAGTTGGGATTTCTCTTTGACATGCTCTACAAGGCAGAAGGAGAGGCTTGCCAAGCATCTAACTTCACCAAAACCCTTAGTTATCATCCTGAAGGTAAGTAATTGTATTCATATTCCTCTTGACGGCTTACTGATGAACTTGACTAGCAGGCAAGTTGGGTCTGCTCGAGGAAGAACCTCATGCGTCGCGGACTGTCATGCTCCAGCACTTGGCTCGATATCTCCTCAGACAGATGACTCAGAACTATAGCCAAATGATTCAAAACCCTCATTCTCATAGTGCAGAGTCACCGCGCCCTGGGGCACTAGAAGAAGTAAGTCTACTTAACTATGCCTTCTTAAATATAACCTCTGCTAACCATCGGTTCTAGCTCTTTCAAACATCCGCAACTAGCTCTATCAGATGCATGAATTGTCGGAGCGAAACTACGAAAGCTGACCATACGATGGTGAATGAATTAATGTACCCCCAAAATGTAAGTCCAGCTCGCCTCCAGCAATACAAATAACCCAAACTCATTATCACAGAAATCCGGGCACAGGAACCCAAGAACACGAGGAACAACATTTTCGCAAGTGTTGAAGATGAGTGTAGAGAGAGAGACTACCAACAAAGGTTGGTGTAATAATTGTCATAGGTACCAGACATTAGCCACCCGAAAGACGATACACAGGATACCCAGTGTATTGATGCTTACAACCGCAATTAACAATAATGAGCACCGGAGACTCTGGGCCACACCCGGATGGCTGCCAGAAGAGATTGGCGTCATAGTGGACAATGGCCAATTCTTCTGCTTCGAGGGTGAAGACTTGAAATTGCATTTGCAGCGGGGGATCCATAATATCACGGTATATTCTTTGACTGGCCTTGCCGTCAATATTGAGGGCGGTCAGCAGCAGAGATCGCACCTCGTAGCCATGGCAAATAGTAAGTTTCCATATTCTTAGAATCTAGCTATCTGAGAGAATCTAATACGTAAGTCCAGTCGCACATTCTGCACCAACGGCTCCCGGCCAAAGTCAGTGGTACCTTTTCAACGACTTCCATGTCAAGCCCATCCCTCCTCAAGAGGCACTTACGTTCAATACATCATGGAAGACACCTTCTGTCATTACGTATCAAACAAAATCAGCCAACAATCAGCTTGATTCCAGTTGGATGCAGAATCTGGATTCTAGGCTATTATATCTAGATCTCCAGTAAGTCTATAGCCTGCTAAGTCGCAAACTATACTGATAAATATACAGAGCTGATCGAGCTGATAAGACTTATCGGACTTTGGATCGGCAAACTGAGCCGGCTGGACCAGATACGATTGTTGCAATTGACACAGAATTTGTCAAGATTTCACAGCCGGAAGTTGAGATGCATTCAGACGGCGACTCAAAAATCATCCGGCCAACGGTGCACGCTTTAGCCAGGAATTCCATCGTCCGAGGCAGTGGTATGGACGAAGGATTGCCGTTTATCGATGACTATATCACTATCAAGGAGAAGGTCGTCGACTACCTAACATCGTACTCCGGGATTACCCCCGAAGACTTAGATATAACGATGGCGCAGCAGAGAGGGCATAATCTTGTCCCGTTGAAGATTGCGTACAAGAAAATTTGGATTCTCTTGAACCTTGGGTGTAAATTTCTGGGCCACGGGTTGAAGCAAGATTTTCGAGTAATCAACATTCACGTACCGAAAGCGCAAGTCATTGACACGAGCGATCTATTTTTCATCAAGGAGCGCCTTCGGAAACTCAGCTTGCAGTTCCTCGCACATACCCTCCTCAAAGAAGATATTCAGCTGAGCACGCACGACTCCATCGAGGACGCTAGGACTGCCTTGAAGCTATACCGCAAGTATCAGGAGTTTAGCGAGGCGGGCGTTCTGGACACTATGCTCCAGGAGATCTACGCGAAAGGCGTCGCCTCTAACTTTAAGCCCCCAGCTAAAATAAATTCAAGTGGCAATGTACCCAGAACGGATACTCCACCGGTAGACGGGACGATAACAATCGGACCAACGACGCCGTCTAGAAAGCCTAGCACCCTCGTGCCCGGAACACCGGCGTCGACACCAGGAAGGGGGTTGGGCTCGAGATAGCCCTGGGGCTTCGACCCTGAGAAAACATTTGTGCAATTCTTGATAACGCGTATGCAGAAGAAACAAAATAAGTGAAATAATTTGAGCCTCTAGCATTAAGGACTAAGGAAAGAACTGCTTTTCATCATGTTCAATTGTAGACTACAAGTGTTACGAGCCTGTTGTCGTGCTGATTTCGCAGTTGTTTACGAGACTCATGAGTAACAGCAAATATCCTCAATGGCATACGACGAACCTAGATTCTGCTAAATACAAAAAAAACAGTAAGCGGTTGAATAACCACTATGCAGTTAGTAGAGCGGTGAGAAGAAATCAAATCAATATTACATATCCGTCTTCGATAAAACCGACTTGCCCTTAATTTTTACTCTACGGTCAGTCTAATGTTTCCTTCATAGTCTGTTGGGCCTTTATTATTAGTAATATAGCAAGTTAATATGCGCAATTCAAGTCGATAAGTAGCAATAACTTGAGCTGAAATTTACCTGCAACCACCTCACAAGTTTCTATTATATCACATATATGTTAGGTTAGGTACCTACCTAAGTAAAGACAATTTGCCTATTTTAATCGTATGTCTTCCTGGTCTAGTAGATGAACCCTTCCCTCCCGTCAGCTACGTCGCTAGGACAACTATAAGGCTCTGCTAAATACGAAGCTATAACTTGTCCAAACCCTCGATTTTCAGTACCGTAAATATCACCAAGAGAACGTGTGGCAAGGAGTGTGTGTCGTCTTTGTACATGGCTTTTGATTTATATCATACATAGGCAGCCTAGATGTGTACATACATACCTACATAGGTACCTAGGTAAGGTAGACTGCCACAGCCGACCATCTATCTATAGGTACCTTAGGTACATATATCCATAGGTACGATGTCCCACGAGGAACGCTCCGATGCGTGTCGGTCCCCAAGCTGCAATGTTTCCTCCCTCCCACGAGCCAACAATCGTCTCGGCATCTGTACCTAACACGTAGATACCTAACCTAACCTAATCTAACCTAACGTAGCCTATATCTCCAGTCTATAGCGACCACGGCTATGGCTACGGCTACGACTACCTACTTCCGCCGCTGCTTCCCCACGACAGCATGATGGGTCAGATTAGCGCGGGCGGCGGTGCCGAGCTTGTGGATGCTGTTGCGCTTGTCCCAGACGGCGGACTTGCCCTCGACGACGGCGACGAGCTCCTGGGCGAAGCGGGTGGCGAACTGGGCGCGGCCGGAGCCGGCGGAGCGCTTGCGGCGCACGGCGTCGAGGATCCACATGACGGCGATGCGGCGGCGCGCGCGCGCGGCCATGGGCTGCGGCAGGTCGAGCGATTGGCCGCCGCCGGCGGCGCCGCGCAGACTGCGGATGCGGATCAGGGGCGCGACGGAGTCGATGGCGAGGGTTAGGTAGAGGAGCGGGTTGAGGGGGAGCTGGTCGGCGGGGGGGCTGCCGGGGAGGAGGGGCCGGTGGGGGGAGACTTTAGGGGAGGGGGTGGTGCGGAGGTAGTTGAGGATCATGGCCATGTTCTGTTTTTTGGGATGGCGGAGAGGTTAGCTTAGTTCTTGTGCTATATATTCTTCTTCTTCTTCTTTTCATGTTTCTTTCTGGTAGCAAAGAACGGGGGGGGGGGGGGGGGTTGAATAGAGAGAGAGAGAGAGAGAGAGAGAGGGAGAGAGGGAGAGAGAGGGAGAGAGGGAGAGAGGGAGAGAGAGGAGAAAGACGTACCCTCTGCGCTTGGCTTAGCTTCCCGTCTTTCATCAGGAGCTTCGTGACCTGCTCTACGACGGGATGGTACCTGTCCTGCAGCTGCTGGCCCTTGCCGACGCGGTCGGGCATGTTGAACAACAGGCCTTCGTCGCCGTCGTCGAGAGCCTGGTTAGCAGCAACTCTCTCGAGTGCGGCTATGGCCTCGGCGTTGAGGAAGTTTGGCGCAAAGACCTCGGGCGGCTTGTGCACATATTGTGCGGGAGTTGGTGGTGGGGTTTCGGACTGGGGCGGTATTCTTGTGTCGGTGTCGTCTGCAAGCCCTCTCCTCGTTATGAAGAATGGTGTCTGATGATATGCTGGTCGTTGTTCTGGTCGGGATGCTATTCGGAAGGCGGTCGTGGGTGTTCGTCGCGTTCGTATGCTGAGATTCCGGACGGCGGCGGCGGCGGCGGCGCCCCAAGGGGTCAACTTGCAAGACATGATGCCGGTTTTGATTCTACAAGTAATTGCATCGATTGTGAGACCAATTCCTACTTTCAATGCCACTTCCTCGTCCTCGTCGTCCCCAAGTGCGATGTTCGTTAAGTCGATAATAAATGGCTACGGCAAAAAAAAAGTTATCTTAGGTAATAATGCGATTCAGAACCTAAGGTACCTAGGTAGCTGCAACATCCTGGCACACAATTAATCCGAAGCACGGACCATTTTTAATATGTTCTTATCAATTGGATGGAGGGGTTTATCTTATCGTCTTGAAGCAGGACACTGCCACACGTAGCTAATTCAGTCTAAGCCACATTTATTAGGTACATACGAGTATACGAGTACCTATACGAGTCTCAGGGGCTTTTTATGATATCTCACTTTTCGTTTGCAGCATTTTTTCCAATTGGACGATCTTGCATACCCATTCTTTTTTATTATGCTTAATTTCCATCTCGCCTTTAGTTTCCTTTTTCCTTAAAAGGTAGTAATTACAGTAGTTACCTATCTAAACTTCTATATATCATTTTGCTTTTTCTTCGCTTTTTCTTTCTTTTAACAATATTCCTTCCCGTGTTCCAGCAGTTATAATAAATCTAGAACACTTCCACTGGCAACCAACTGGAGTCTTCCCCCCTTTTTACCGTCACACCCACCCACTCCAGATCGTTCCCCCATCCTACCCTACTTCCCCCACGCGGGTGATGGGTACCTACGACCGGATTGTAACAGGGCTACATAGGTATTCCTTGGCTTGACCCCACCATGTCCACGTCGATTATGCGGGTATTTATACATGCAGCAACCTGAGGAAGGATTTCAGCCCGCAACGGCAGAGTTGGTGCATGGGTTTTTGGAAACCCGCTTAACCTAGGAAGAAGCGCCTCTTCTTCATCTCATCTTCATGCTTAATGTTACCAGTTGGTGCCTGTGCGGTGGAGACGTGTCTCTTTATGGGAGGACGCCTTCAAAAGTTCAACTCGCCCGGGTTAGGAGGTACCTACCTAACATAGGACATTACTATGAGACACGAATGTCTTAGATCTTTACTACACCTAAGGCCTTACTTGGGCTGCGCCGCCTCGGCGCCTCTGAGCTCACCATGTCTCAGATTTGCCCGTCCTTCGGATGCCATTTCCGCGACGAGAACCGGTCGTATGACTATAAGGTTGCAGGTGATAGCTATCATATGCGACCTGATAACGCCGTGGAGCTCACCGGTCGAGTTAGGTCGCAGTTCGTGAGGCTACATCTAAAAGCTTACTCGCCGGTTGGGCTTTAAACCAGATCCGCGATGGCGTAATATAATGGAGCACCTGACCTTTGTTTAAAACCGGGAGGTTGTATGCTGTGGTATCTTCTCCGTCGTCATCGTCAGCTTATAGCTTACAATGGATATCTGCAGCCGAAACCCATCGAAAATGGTTATGTTTATGTGAGTGGAACGGCCGTGCTTACACCCTCGTATTCCTCCCCAAGACCGGCACAAACCAACGCTATACTATATATTATACTATAACTATATTATACTATATATGATTACTCTACGAAGCTGGGGATCATGGGGTTCATTAACGTAGCACATTTAGTACCATGTAGCGCAGTGAACCTAGCTTACGCCTTGTCCCTGGCTGGCGTAGCATCGCGCATTTTGTTTTCATCAGACGAATTTCAGGAGTGCATGCATGCGCATACTACAGTAAGCAGGAACATTGACACGCACGACGCCTACATCAGGACATCAGCTAGTATATACAAAATGTTTCGATAAATCTATGTCTATGTGTCATCACGTCATCGTGAAAGCGTTTGGATATGTTGGGTATTTATCCCTCTCGGTTCCATTGAGAAAAGAAGAACGGAAAAGCAACGACAACATGAAAGCTAGGAGATCGACATCATTCATTACTCCTCATCAAGTGATCGCATCCTATCCCATTTCCTCCTCCTCCTCCTCCTCCTCCTCCTCCTCCTCCTCCTCCTACCTCTTTTTTGACGACTCGTTACCGTTACTTTTTTTTTCCCCTTTCCCTTACTCTTTCGCGCATGTCTCAAGCCTATTTCCTAGCTAGATGAGCCCAACAAAATCTCATCCTTGTAATTAGTAGGTGACATAAGTCCATGACTTCTAATAGAAAATCGATCAAGCGATGTGTCTATCGATAGTTGGTTTCATGAGATCAGCTTTTGCTTTTCTCTTCCCGTCTGTTCCGTTGTAATTTTCACAAGGTCGCGTTGGAGTAGTTGAAACGAGCAGAGGTAAGAGAGAAAATCCAACACAATCCCTGGCGATGAACGTTTTCTTCGAGAAACGACAAAATGGGTCCCTCCCCCAAAAAAAACGAAGTCCTGCGCCTGGTCATCCCCGAATAATCCCTGTTTTTGAAACCCTTTCCTGGTGATGATCCCCCGCTGTCGTAGTGTAAAACACGCCCTCGCTACCTGAAAAATGGTCGTGGCGGACAAGCATACTAAAACCTCCAAGTTGTATCCATTGGAAACCAATCAATGATGAGGAACCTGCGCCGAATCCATAGATGCTCGTGTAATTGCTCTCCCCGTCTCTCGTCTTTTTCTTTTCCTTCTTTCTCGTGTCCTTGCCGTGGGGCAGCCAGATCCTTTCCCAAACTCCGATTTGCCAATAATCGTACAGAACAGGAAGTTCAAGTCGTAAAGCGAGGAGACATAAACCCCAAAAATCAAGCGTTGCTGTTGGGGGAAATAGGGCGTGTCGAGGTAAATCAATCGCGCAAATGGGGAAGGCGATCGAAAATAGGAGCCACGCATGTCAGTTGGAGACCCTTAAATGTTGAACATATTCGTAGTCGGTTGATTTCCCGGGAAGCCGTCTACCAGCTGGTTGATAAGTTCGCTTGATTGGAAAGCCAGTTCAAGGCCGCCTCCGCGGCATCTTCCCTAGCATTTGTGATGTTCCTCCCGTCATACCAATATCGCGCTTCGATTCGCTTGCCGTAAACGGTAACTATACTAGACCACGCGGTACGACCACCTAACGATCGAGGAATATCTAGTTAGTTATCACCCATATGCGTCGATGAATATTAAAAAGAGACTCACCGCGCCGGTCAGATACGATTTGAAAATGAGGAGCTTGAATCTGGTATTCGCGGCAGACCTCTGGCCAAGTGTGTTAGTTATACTCTTACAAGTTTCTAGGTGAGATCGGGGTTGCCCACCTGCCAGCCGGTCTTGCCATGGTGTTCCCGAAACTTGTTGCTGTGAAGACGGCATGGTGATTGGATAGACTCGTAGAAAGTAATGGGATAAACTGATACTTTAGGCAGAGGAAACCTTCTACAGTAACAGAGTGTAATAGCCAAAATGTGCTAGATGTGCTTGATGTGCTAGATGTGCTTGTGTGATATAGACCAAGGAAGAAACTAGCGCTTAAGACCATGTAGGAGACAGGCTATGTAAATACCTTTTATATTCGAGCTAGAATCGGTGTCCTCGTGTTTTCTCGATTGGGAAAGGAGAGACACGGCCAGCAGCGTGGACGAAGAATATGAGCTGCGTACGCGCATAGGCATCAAGGAACGGGCAAGTAAAATCAGAATTATGAGTGGTGAAGAGGCAGTGGATGATGTGGCAGGAAAGGATTAGTTAGCGGCCGCCTAGCTGTTTGCGCAACGGTACTGTACGGCTATGAAAGGGAAATTATTCGGCAGAGGAGACGGCATCATGCATCGTGTGTGTGTACGTGGTGGGTGGGTGACAGGTTCAGCTCCAGAGAGGCGTTGATGTGGTGGGAGAGGAGGATGAAGTAGGAGATAAACGACGGCTCTCATCGCCGATATAAGTTACAAGTGAGCATACCAATTCCTTCTCTATTGTTTCCAACTGCTTACTAGGGTCATCATGTCCGGGTGGGAAACCTCGGAAGCAAACACATCTAGGTTAGGTGGGTTGATGAAGGATTGCTTTTTTTTCCTTTTCTTATTCTTCCTTTCTTTGCTCATGTTTCTTTCTCTACATCATTCTCATCAGTGCATCTTCCTCATAATAGAAGGCTTCGGGGTAGATGTAGCCGAGTGCTAGTTTGAGTAACAAGAATACTGTCCTCAAGATTAATACACACCCCATGCTGACCGAGCAAGGTGAGTAGGGCTTGTTACGAATATTGATAAAACAAGACAGGGTGTATATGTATCCAATACGTGAAACGAGTTGATGATACTCTACACGATATATACGAGAAAAATAACACAGATTTTGAAACGATATAGATAAGAAAAGAAATCGTTAGAATACCGTACCACTCACTGTAAGCCAAAGGTTGGGTGGCGGGGCCCTGGGGACCGCAGCTTGTGACAGCTTTCCTGCGATGTCCTCACGAACATGCGAGCAAGAGAGCAAGAAACGCAAAGCAGATGGCCGATGTATTGTTGTCAAACTTGACGCAGCGGACCAATCGTCATACCACCCCTCCCCAGTTCGGAGATATTGTGTTGAACGAGTCTCACTGAGCTGTCGTAGGGAATCGGTACGTGCGAGTATATAATACATACTAGGTTCCATAGGAGGTAGGTAGTATAGTACATAAGATGCATCTTATTACGCGGCTGTATGACAACCAAGTACTGGGTGGCTGATCAGCTTTTGACTTATCTGTTTCAACCCGAGCCCTGAGAGAGCAGATTTAAGACCAATACCTAAGATGACACATAAAGCACCCCTGAAGCGTGTGTTAAGAATAGTACGGCTCGGAGCAGGCTAGACGTAGGAAAGCCTTGGTTATTGCGTGACGATTCAGACCCAACAACGTGGTTGAGCCGCGCCACGACGGACAGCTGCCGCCGCCGTGACATTCTGGCATTTGTGGTCAATAAGAAAATTCCCCGAGTCTTGAGGCGTACCTGTACTATTGGAGCACAGCCCCGACTCGACGTAGAATTCCATCGATATGTATCCGAGGCCGACTACACGTCCATGTTTGCAGGGAAGACGCGTGTTATTATCGGGCATATTATTTTCGGCCTAAAGCAATGCATTGGTTTTCTGACGCAACAATGACAACCTTCAAACGGCATTTACTGTATTTTTTCCCCCTTTGTTTTGCTTGCTGTTATTGTAGATGTTTGCTTTTCCCCCCTTTCTGCCAGGAACCCCGTATCAAGTTTTGACCCAATTGATCGGAACACGCGATTCTAATTGGATGAACTAAACACAAGCGTGCGGAATAATCGAGAAACGGCCGGTGACATAACGACAGCGGCGATATACACGGCATCTCGTCTGAGAAGTCCAACTTGGGTATAGGGTATAGAGAAGTAGCCTGTTGAGGGACCACATTCTTTTCTCGTCGTTCTGTTGGGCCGGGTACTCGGTAACAGGTAGTTAGGCATGAACTAGGCTGGATGATACATCGAGTTATTGGCTCTCGCTTAAAACTTTTACGAAAACCCCTAACTGTATGTTTAGAATATAACCAGGAACAATGCAATGTCAAATGGGTTTTCAGCTTTCCAGATTAATTGTAAAAGCCGATGATCTACAGTTTAGCCTTCTCCTTTTCGGTATAAGGCACATGGCACATGTCATAGTCGGTCAAAGAAAGGCACCTAACATCTTTGGTGAAATCAAATATCGTAAGGGGAACTGCCCAGCTACTAGGTTAGGTCGTTACGGAAAACGGATCGTGGGGAGATCACGAAGCGTTGGGCCGCATTTGCCATTGGGAGTACTTAGACGCAACTTACCTCTTCAGGTTACTCGGCCCTATGCCTTTAAGATGGCTAAGATGGCTAAGATGGCTGCAATGCGGGTATCTACTTAACAAGATACCCTCTAATTCCTTCGCTGAGGCCTCGATATAACATGGACTAGGTGCCGAATCTCAGCAGACGTAATCTAGGGTCTAAGGAAGAGAACGTGAAATGCACCCCAGTAGCATTTTCACGATGTAGGTGTAGACTGACTTAACCACAAGCCATGGTACTCATGTATGTGGTATCAGATAAGGCAAGCGTATGTTCTACTGTATCCTTTTAGTGTGCTAGCCCTCCGCACCTTAGTCCCGCTGCGCGTCTCCGACTTGATAAACAAGTAACCTTGTCCTACTTGTAGTTTGTATGCAGGCCGGAGAGCATAAGACGTGTAACCGTTGATTATCGGACCCGCCAGTATGGATCGTCGGATACAGGGCAACGTGGAAGGGCGTCGTACTAAAACGAATGCAGAAGCCCCGTATCATACGTACCAAATCCAGACTGAAGGCTAAAGCTGTTCGGCCGAGAGACTTGGTACCTACATAAGGGCTGCAACGAGCAGACCCATGCATTCCGTGCTGATGTGGAGGGCCACATCCTTGTGTAGATCCAGCATCAACACTCGCCTTATCCAGGCACAATAGTGCCCGGCTGCAAGGGCGTGCAGAGTAGGCAGAGCGCATACTTCCCGTTGGCTCTAAGGCTATCTAGCAGTGAGGCAAAGTGCTAGAAGAGCTGTTCAGAAACTTGGCAAATGAGACTAGAAACAGTCAGCAGCAAATCGACATGCCATGATAACCGCTACACCGAAAAATAGCTAATGAAACGTCAGTGATTGCTAACGAGAATGACCAATGACTTCCGCATAATCGCGAGGGCTGCAGGGTTGTGTGGCGGTGCACAGGTAACCATCCTGCCTTGCAAGAAAAAAAATGAAGCTGAGCAACAGGTATTGATATGGTGGTTGGGCTGCGCGTTGCTATCCTGATTATTATAGTCGTTAAAGGAATGAATCCAGTGGTCATGCACTATTATCGAACCATACTATCGAAGCCCGAAGGGTACCAGCTCTCGGAAACTAGGTGGCAATATGAAATACATTAAGGAGGCCCAGTTGCGGATTAGAGCATGTCGCTTCCGCAGTCCCGTCGGAGCTCTACGTCAGGCAACTATTGAAACTCGACAACCCGTGTAGGCATCGTTTGTGCAGAGGCGTGACTTTTGGATGCATCCTTGGAGAAATGGCAGGTAACAGGCGTAGTAGTCCCGTCTGAAGCAGAGGTCTTAGAAGGGAAACCTGCCCGCATATTCCAACGCGTTGTATAAGTACGATAAACGGATAGTGACACGGCATTAAGGAGTAGTTCCCGTTGCCACCCGTCGTCCGGCTATTATCCCGCCACCCATCTATTCCATCGTCCTTTAGATTCGTCTGTTAAACTGGTGAACGATAAGTCGAATCTGTGCCTAGATGAGGTGATGGGAATAGCGAGGAATCATCCGGGCCATGTGTGCTTGCATCAGACGACAAGTGATTAATCTAAATATAGAAGTAAGTCGTCAATTGGATAAGTAACGAGATGATATATTACTAAAGGTTGTGAGAGCCGCCCGTACGCGATGGTGATATCAAGATGCACCTGACTTGGAGGTTGCATTTAATAAGGAACATTAACGAGGAACGAATTCCGATGTTAAGAGCTAAGCGTCCCCCACTCTAACATTGAAAACCGTGGTAAGGTTCGGCCACAGATAACCCCGGATTCCGTCTGCCCTGCACGTGGGCGCCAGCACATGCATGGCCGGATTTACCGAGGGGTCTTCCCAGGCTATGTTAGGTTAGGTACCTAGGTACTTAAGTAAGGTACAGACCTTAGGTAATGTTTACCTAGGTAGGTACTAGTCATGGCTTAATATGTGGGTCCGGGGAACAGCCTACCTCGGCATCTTACAACCTCCTTCGCCGTTCCATTCTTATAAGCGTCCGGGGTTCGTCTCGGTCTTTATTATTTATTATAAACATTCAATCAAGATTCTTTAATTCTATGCATTATTGTTAGTTCATCACACCTTCTTTTAGACTCTGCCGTAACAGTAGTACAATTACATTGTGGCTCCCAGGATAAATTACAGTAATTAACACAAGGCGGCCAGTCATAACGCCAAGATGCCTTTCGACACCGAGCTGACGCGCCGCCTGGGCATCAAGATTCCTGTCGTACAAGGTGGCATGCAGCATGTTGGATATGCTGAGTTGGCCGCTGCTGTTTCGAACGCGGGTGGCTTGGGTCTCCTCACAGCTCTCACCCAGCCGACACCCGAGGATCTAAGAAACGAAATTCGGCGGTGTAGAAAGATGACCAAAAACCCCTTTGGCGTCAATATCACACTGCTGCCTGCTCTTGTACCCCCAAACTATGCCGCCTACGCCCAAGTCGTCATCGACGAGGGCGTCAAGGTAGTCGAGACTGCTGGTAACAGCCCTGGTCCTGTTATTTCCCAGCTGAAGAAGGCTGGCATCATTATCCTCCACAAATGCACCACCATCAGGCACGCACAGAGCGCTATCAAGCTCGGTGTTGATTTCCTTTCCATAGATGGATTCGAATGCGCAGGGTAAGTCCACCAATAAGCCCTGTTATCAGGGAATCTACTCGCTTTGATCGTTTGCATAGCTAAAACGCGCGTTGTGATGGGCAGACACGTGGGCGAGTCAGACATCACCAACTTTATCTTGCTCTCCAAGGCGCGTCAGACACTCAAGGTGCCATTCATCGCCTCGGGGGGGTTCGCCGATGGCCAAGGTCTAGCAGCCGCCCTATGTCTTGGTGCCGAAGGTATCAACATGGGCACTCGCTTCATGTGCACTGTCGAGGCGCCCATCCACCAGAAGATCAAAGAGCAGATCGTCGAGGCCCAGGAAACTGACACGGCCTTGGTGATGCGCCGCTGGACCAATACTACCCGCCTGTATCGCAACAAGGTCACCGACCAAGTCATCAAGATCGAAAAGGAGAGTAAGACGGGCGAATTTGCCGAAATCGCTCCCTATGTGAGTGGCAAACGAGGCCGGGAAGTCTTCACAACTGGAGACCCTGAATTTGGCGTAAGTCACACAATACTTCCCCTTCTCCTCGTAATAAGATTATAATAAGATTACTAAGTTGGTTAATAGGTCTGGACTGCTGGGCAGGTCATCGGTCTTATCCATGATATACCGACATGTGCTGCTTTACTGACTAGAATCGAAAAGGAGGCAGAAGAAACTCTTACCTCGAAGCTTGCATTGGCTAAACCCCAAAGCAAGTTGTGAAAGGGTTATATATGTAACGTGTTATCATTGCAATTGCTGTTAAAATGTCCTATTACAATATCTTCCATTATAGGCGAAATAGCATTATTTACTATTAGCGTTATGAGAATTTAGCTTTCATTGATGCTTCATTGAATAGTGATATTAATATTATGAGGTCTCATGATAGGAATCCAAAATCAGCACCCAACCTTCATAGTCCCTTGTTTATATTACTACGAGATACCCCTTAGCATATCCTAAACTACAACCCCTTTTCCCCAACATCTCCCTAAAGAACGTAGCTAAGGCCAAAACTGAAACATGCATGGTATTGACATGACATTAGAACATTTCCATTAGGTATCACTCCTTATTTCCGGACAGGGTGTTGCTCTAGTAACCTACCTGTCATGTCATATCATCACAGATCTCCACATGGTTCTCACGAACCGAGCCGGCAGTCTTCGCCTCCACTTCTGCCGAATGGCACCACAAGCACAGAGCTGTATAACATAAAAGTAGAGCAATGCTTCACAGAGCGCAGACCCTATAGAATCGACCCTTACGCGCCCGTACATGAGGTTACTATGCACAACACATCTCGAGTCCTCAACGGCACGAGAGTGGAGTCACGTTCCCGAGGACCCAGTTTCAAGCAAGTCATCGGGCTCCCTATCCGCTCACCTGCAGCATACTGCGTGGAAGAAGGCGGCAGAAGAAGCCCCCGTTATTAGAACCACGGATCGTACGTCCGGTACCAAGCAAGATCGATAGCCGAATCCCCCCCTCTGCCAGGTCGAAAGCTGGAGCGGGCCTAGGCCGGTGTAAATAAGCGATATACCTACGTGCCCAACGATATCTTGCTGCGGGCAAGACACGCTTCGATCTGTGCTAAGAATGGTCATATAATATTCTAGCTCCCGATGGTGTATACCGTTCGTAAGCGTCGTCCACGTACACGATTAAGTGCTGACCACCCTTTTTCATCACCCTGGAATACCCGCTACTCGTGTCATCAGGTGCGCGTGTTCCCCCGCAGGAGCTGAGGCGACATCATAATAGCCCTATACGTTTGGAATATGTGAGATCCACTTGCCACTTAATTTAAGTAATATCGATGATTATTCGTTTTGCCTACTCCTTTGCAGTCACTGTAATCATTCCGGTATAGTAGTGAACTCTACATACACAAGTGAGCGAGACTAATTCTTGCTAAGCTAGTCTCTTAGAGGGATATATTCATCTGTAGAGACATTCGTAGTTAATAGCAGACCGAATCATCATCACTGCAAATTCTCTCTCTCTTTTTTTGTATAAAAAAAAGGCATACTAAATCCATCATATTTTCTTTTTGCTTCAAAGCTTTTCGTGATAATCTTTCTAGTTAGTAAGGTAACTTAAAGAATAACTGCAACTCATCCTATCTATCCATATCCGTAGATGATAAACCTAGCGTAAATAGGTAGGTACCTAGTCAGCTATTCCCGGACACCATTCGACAGATATACGCTTTGCCACCGCCAAATCTTACATGCATACCTGCCGGATGAACTATCCCGTCTTACATAGAGCTTATGTCAATAACTAGAAGGCTGCGGGGAAAAAAATTAAGACTGTTGTCGCAAGAATATGAGTTCTCCAGAATGGCTAATACATACACCATCATACATTCCGTGTCGGTTAGAAAAGGAACAAGGAAAAGAGACAGTTCTTTGAACAGAAGGGGTATATATAGAATGAGTACGTCTTTACTGGGCATAGAAAGGGGTCATTCTGCGAAAATTCCGGAACACATATTCGGCCCATGAGAAGATATTATGAAATCCCTTACAATTTCCCATCACTTTATTAAACTTGAAGAGATAGCAGTTAATATTTTGCTTCGGAGGAAGTGGCCTTTATTGAGCATGTCTAGGTCTATCTCTGCCGCCTCATGCCCATGCAATGAGTTCTAAACAATTCATCATGAATGGACGGCATTACCCACAAGCCCCGTAGGGTCTTACATCAAATAAAGCCTTCCCTCCCCCCTGTTCGTCTTGAGGCGACTATATCAATCCATAGCTATCATCCTTAGGCTTCATCACTCTGGTATCTCGCCTTCTAAGCGGACTCATCCGTGATGAGCTTAGTGATTTTGCCGATAGCAATAGTTTGACCCTGAGTAAATTAGTTAACATTTGGAAATGAGCAATAGGCGAAAGAATAACGTACCTGGTCTCTCAAGGTGAAGCGACCCATCTGCGGGTAATCTTCAAATCTTTCGACACAAACCGAACCGGCGCCACCTGTAACTTGCATCCTAGCAATTATGCTGTCACCCTTCTTCGCATGCGTCGGCGGTACCTTGCTCTTCCTGCCTGTCCCCTTCTGCAGTTTATGTAATAATGCGGCAAATGTTACTTCTTCGACTGCGGAGTGAACGTGTAGGACACAGTTAAAGCCGGCACTAAGAATATTCTTAAGTTCGAGAATTCTGATCTGGGCCTCAAAAGCCGACACGTTATGAACGAGACGTTTCGGCGAGCAAAGCACGAAACCGGCTGAGATGTCGTCTTCTTCAATACCTCGAAGACGTATTCGCACCTGGTCACCACATTGAGCGACCTGTATCTCATCTTCTGTCTCGCCATAGAGAGCTGCAATTTCGACCTTCTCTTTATTCGGCATCATGACCAAGCCCATACCCTTCTTGCAAACACCGGCTTCAATCTTGCCTTCGATCATGGTTCCCATATCCCTATACTTCCCGCTAATAGCCATCATGAACGGCGCATTGGTCTTTCGTTCGAGGGCCTGCATGTTATCGAGATATTCCAGTAGGGAAGGTCCATCGTACCAGGGGCAAACCCCCGACGGAATGCGGTCTTTGATGCCCATCGTTTGTTGGGCGGCAATAGGCATGAAGAAGACGTCAGTTTTTAGATTGTATCCACTACCCTTAAGGAACTGTGCTAGCTTTGTAGTACATTCCTTGTATCTCTCTTCGGACCAGTTGACGGTAGGGTCGTCCATCTTGTTGATAACGACGACAAGTTTGTTGACACCTTGGGTCTTGGCAAGCATGGCATGCTCGCGGGTCTGTCCACCCTTCTCAAAGCCGGTTTCATACTCTCCCTTACGCGCACTGATAACGAGGATGCCGATATCTGCTTGGGAAGCACCTCCAATCATGCTCGGGACATAGGTCTTGTGGCCAGGGGCATCCAGAATACTATATCGCCGCTTCTCGGTTTCGAAGAACCCTCTACCAACTTCGACTGTCTTTCCCTTCGACCGTTCTTCCTTGGTCAAATCAAGAGCCCAAGATAGGTACCACGTTTCTCGGCCCAAGTCTTTCGCTTCACGTTTGTATTTATCCATTGTACGTTCATCGACCATACCAGTTACGTACAGAATAGAACCACCGAGGGTTGACTTGCCAGCATCGACGTGACCAATAAAGATGATGTTGACATGTTCCTTTCCGTAGATTTCCTTAAGGGTCTCTTCATCGACGTCAGCGACCTGTTCGTTGGCGACGGCATCGGCGTCGCGGGCTGCTTTGCTTCCCCTGGAGGGGCTTGAGCGTCCGGATGAGGGTGTTGGTGATGTCTTGCCACTTGAACTCTTAGTTGACTTGGTAGCCTCGCCAGTCTTCTCAATAGCTTTAGTTGCTGTTACTTTAGAACCGGCGTCGGCAGAGGCTTCCTTGTCGGCTTTGTCGGACTTGGGCTCATCTTTTGGCGGCGCGGGAACACCGATCGATAGGACCTTGGCGGTCTTAGGCTTCGAAGGGTCTCCACCTATGCTCAATACTTTAGTTCCTCCCTCTTGCTTAGCAACCGGTTTGGGCGCATCAGAAGAAGAGGCAACAGGGGCAGGCGTAGCAGCAGCAGCAGATGCGCCCTGGTCGCCTCGCTTAACAATGGTAGGCACGGCTTGGGATTGTTGGGCTTGTTGCTTAGACTTCTGTTGGGATTGGGGCTGCTGATATTGAGCATATTGCTGTTGCTGCTGCTGCTGCTGCTGCTGTTGTTGTTGTTGTTGCTGTTGTTGCCCTTGTTAATGTTAGTAAATAACAATTTCTTCTGAGGTCTAAATAATACCGTATCCCTGGTTATATCCACCTTGTCCGTAGACATTACCATATCCCTGACCGTATTGGCCGTAGCCACCTTGAGGTCCGCCATATTGAGGGTAGTAATTCTGGCCACCACCATAGTAACCTTGCTGGTAGTTAGGGGCATAGCCACCACCATAACCTTGACCTGGTTGGAAAGTCTGGGCAGTGGGTTGAAACGACGCGGCGCCAGGTCGGAATGATGCGGCGGCGGGGTTCTGAGGTTGATTATTGAGGTTCAGCTGCTGAGCCTGCCTTGACAAATTGTCGTCCTGGGCAGCAGGATCATCCTCCCAAGAGTTGAGATCAGCCATGGTGCCAATTACTATATAAGTTCTTATGTATTGTGTATTGTCGATGGTATTTATGGTAAAAGGTCCGAAAGCGACGATTTGTATCAAGGGAGAAAATTTGACGTCAGATGGCAGAAGTTTGAGGGTTAACAATTCGCAGTTGTGCGACCGTGAAATATCGAAATTTCTATGCAATCGTGAATATGAAAGATGGAATGATGAATGAATGGTCTAAGCTTGGGCGTTAGGAGGAGATTAATCATAATGAACAACAAGATAAAAGTCTAGTATTAACTCACGGGTAAGGCCCTGCCTAAAGTTCAATACCTGAACTTTGGTTATTTCGTTGCTTCGTTGCTTCGTTGCTTCCTTGCAGCGTTGCGGTAAAGTCGAAAAAGCGATGCAGCTTTAGCGGGGTGAGAGAGGTTTTTGCCCCGCGAATGACGGAGAAGGAAGCATGTATCAAGTACCTAATGTACCTAAGTTATGTACGTCAAGTTAGGCAACCGCGCTGTTTTCAGTAATAAACTGTGGAATTTTATTAGTTTGTGCGATAGGAATAAAATGTGGATTAGATATAGGTACGGAATACGGTCCGATATGATAAGGATATCAACATAAGTCATGTACTAAACGAATATTAAGTCTCTCGTTTATTACCTACATGGGCTAATCGAGCTTCATAGGTACGCAGCATGTTCACCTTTGAACATAATCAACTTCAACTTTACCACAACGGTTGTGAATTCATGCATATCCATTCAAGCACGGACATCTACCTTTTAAGGCGTTACTTACCGATTGCCCTTCATGGGGCAATCTAACAGTTTTTCTTTTTCATGCATGCATATTATTTCGCGGGTGTGGTTGGAGCAAGACACTGGAGAAAAGACGATAATAACAAACTACCGCCTGATCCTGAGTTATTGATGATACTCTGCCATGGATGCATTCTTAGCCAAGTTATCCTACCACGCCACCAACTATGCTATCAGGTCTTGCTTCGCTCTGACTTCTACCTATGTCATCCAACAAGGTTCAAGACTCCTTAAAGTATGAATTATTTACCGTTTATTTGTTTATTTGTTTATTTATTTATTTATTTATTTATTTATTTATTTATTTATTTATTTATTTATTTATTTATTTATTTATTTATTTATTTATTTATTTATTTATTTATTACTTCAACCTCTTATTTTCAACCTCACTACGCATTGTACTTTATGCCTTATTATGTTAGGTACCCAAGCTAATTTGGGTAATGTTGTCTAGACCGTTGACGACGATCCTCTACGGGCCGAGTTGAGCCATCTACAACGACGGTTGGCTCGCAAGATCGAGGTAAGTCATGTCTAGCCGACTTAGCTGAATGTAGGCTCCTCACCGATACACCCTTGTCGCGTGTTTAATCTCATCAACCGTTGCTGACCTCTCTAACAGCTTATTTCCCCTATACTCGAGTCTATTGAGTTTCGTTTTGCTCGAGGAAACTCGACTTTGGAGGCCGTAGTGCAGACAGCACAAGAACTACGGGCCAATGTTGACTCACTTGGAAAACGCCTCGAAGTCGCTGCCTTAGCAGACCAATCCCACCAAGATGGAAAAGCTAAAGGCCCCGCTGCAACTGCTTCTATGCGTCGTATCGAAGTCAAGAACATCATCACAGACATTAAACAATTAATTGAAGATATTGATGATTCCATACCCCTCATCAACCTTTGGGTTTCTGCTATCGGTGGTATTCAAACCCAACACTCGGCTTTTTCCCCCTCCCGTTTATTACAGGCTAGCATGCTTGTGAATGTCGGCGATACTCAGTACATTCTCAACCCGGGCAGACCTATGCAGATCGGCCCAGACTTTATGCTGTCCATCTACATGTTATTTCGTGCCCATGCCTCTCCCGAAGACGCAGTAGAGCCGTACGGCATAGAAGAGGGTCAGCGTAAGCCGGTGTGGCAGGAAGTGATCCATAAAGCCCGAGTCCGGCTCCGTAGGATACCGCTCGAGGATAATCTCCCTGGAATGAACAACAACATAGAGCATAACACCTCTTATGTAAGTTATGCATACCAACTTCAAATTGTGGAGGACTTAGATGACGGACGTGTCCACACAGTCGAGGACGGCAGCGCCCCGCCAAATTCTTACGAGGGTGTCTCCAGCGCCGGTATACGAGAATTTATTCCGGTCCACCAGATTTCAAAAATGTTCTACGCGGACGTTGGGAGGATTTTAAACATAAATAATGAAGATGGCGCCTCGAGTAGTCCCGTATTATTGCTTAAAAGGGACGTGAAGGCTATACCTCCGAATCAAGCGCGACAAACCGATCTATTTCGGGAGGATCAACGACAGTTAATCGAAGGTCCAGATGAGAGTATCGTATCTGACTGCACTTTAGAGGGCGATTCTCAGGACGAAATAGACCGTCAACTTCGCCAAGAAATTGTGGTCACTAAGGCTGCTATACGGAGATCCACTAATTCCTGGAGGCTTCCACAGGACCTTGACCCTGCATGGATAGCTCTGGAGGTTTTTGAGATGGATGACGACGACGACGACGACGACGACGGTACGACGGAGGATGAGGATGACCATACGCCTGAAGAAGATGAAGAATACAGAACAGAAAAAGACCAACATTCAAACTCCAACATCCCCCGCCGGCTAAAAAACAGCACGCGTCCATCCGCCGATTCAAATCTAGTAACACAGCTCAACCGAATGAGCATAGCCTCCACACCCTCGCGGTCGTCCTCTAGAAACTCAGGCGGCGCACTTATCCCCGACAACGGGAAATTCGACGAAGACCTACTCGAACGATCGCCCTTCGGCGCAATCCACACCTCGCTCTCACTCCTCGAAATGATGCTCCGCCTGACAAGCTTGCAGGAGTTCGAACAGACCACACACCTTGCCATTCCAGACCATGTCCTAAAGTTCTACCTTGACGAGTCCGTCTCGCGAGCTGACGCTGACGCTCCAGTTCATCGCAGCCTTAGCAGGGAGCGGAACTGAAATCGAGATGACGCTTTAGCGCTGGCGGGGGGGTCTTGGATGTGATTAGCTTGGGATAATGCCGATAAATACCTTAGGCACACAACGAGGTTGAATCTATAAAGTTGGTCCTTCGGTTTGCAAGTAGACCGAGTAGATGGAGACTCATGTAAAATGTGTAAAGACCGGGGCTTGGCATAGCGGGCGTCAAGACAACTCACGAGAAGGCTAATCGTAGTACAAAGTTTGAATGCAAATTGACCATATAATGAAGAAACATTTTATTCTCATTTATCGTGAATTTTGTGGGAATCTCGGCGCATATATGCTCTTGTTAGATGACATAGGCGGGATGAAGAATAAGTGTATTCTCGTAGCAACTCTAATCAAAACTGAATAAAACCAGACCATCCGAACCGTCATAATTCGCACATACACTCCATCGTATGAATCCGATACTCGTTATACAATTCATCAAATACAGGCATGGCAAAGAACAGCATCCTAAACTAGCCAGCTAGCCAAGCCGTCCTCTAAACGCCGCGGGAACCTAGCGTACTCGTCACCCGGATATTGCCCTTACCACCGACGTCCGTAAACTGTGCTCTCGTTCCCGCGTGAGGCCTTTGAGCTAGAATTCTTACTTCGCATAGCCGCAAGCGACCTCGTGACGTCCTGGCGCACAACGCTATTTAACCGCTCATCGTCGTCACCGTAGTCGCCTCCTGTGCTTTCGCGGCCGACATGTTTAAACAGGTCCATCATCTCCTTGATGCCGAGCTTGAGACTCTCCTTGCGAGCGCCGCCCTCGATGGTGGCCTCAGCAAGGAGCCGCTTCTTCTGCTGGAGCTCTAGGATACGTTCTTCAACGCTGTTCTCGATCGTTAGTTTGTACACGACTACATCGACGGTCTGCGTCAGCCGGTGCACTCGATCGATAGCCTGCTCCTCGACGAATGGGTTCCAGAAAGGCTCGAGGATGATGACGCGACTGGCCGCAGTGAGGTTAAGACCCAGAGCACCGCACCGCAGAGAGCAAAGGAGGACTCTGGTTCGCGGGTCATTTCGCAAATTGTTGAGCGCCTCTTCTCGCGCGTCGTTCTTCATACTCCCATCGTATCGTGTATACTTGATACCTTCCTTGCGGAAAAAGGGCTCCACTAGGTCCAGCATACTGGTGAACTGCGAGAAGACAATAAATTTGTGCTCGTGTACTTCCTTGTGGAGTAGCGTGATAAGTTGGCGGATTTTGGCTGAGGCGAGCACATGGGGTGTCTTCTCCTTCTCTCGGCCAGAGCGGGAGTAGACGACGTCGTCTTCAGAATCTGAATCGATTTCAGACTCGGATATGCCTGTATCGTCAGCTTCGGAATCGGATTGCGATTCCGAGTCTGCATCTTCCGCTTCATCCTCTTCATCACCTTCCTCGTCCTCATCTTCACTATCTTCGAGCTTTGTTCGGCGCATCTTAGATTGAATCACTGAGATGGATTCGTCCTCTTCAGTATCTGATTCTTCCAAGGCCCGTTGTAGCTCTTCAGGCTTCGTATCATTCCCATCATCCACGATGAAGTCGCTTAGCTGGCTACCATCTTGCGTTTCCTCTTCTTCGGAATCGTCTGAGTTGATAGTCTCACCATCACCCTCGGCATTCTCGTCATCCGTGCCGCCTGCTTTTCCTAAGCGTAGTGGACCCTGTTCGTCGTCAGAGACGATCCAATCAGCCTCTTCGTCCTCCTCGTCGCTATCGATAATCGCGCGGCGATTCCTAGGTTTACGCTTCTTGACAACCTCAGTCTTAATCTTCTCAACTACCACCTTCTTAACCTTGGTCTTAGTCTTCTTTTTTTTTGTTCTCATCTTTGGTGCTTTCAACTCTCCACCATCTTCGTGATGCTTAAAGTACTCTAAGTCTTCGTAGCAAGCTTTGCATTTGTCTGTGCCGGGCTGGCGGTTGTCGCGGTCAAGCTCCCAGCCACATATATCACAGTGTTTTGTCTCGACGTCTAGTCCACCAAGAAGGTCTGCAAGGGCGTCGACGTCCACTTCATTCTTCCTTGGCTTCGTTTCCTCGGATAGGGCGTCCTTGTCCTTTTCGAGCTTGCCCTCAACTAATTTTGGGTGATCGCAAGCCTGTCTTAAACGCAGGAGGAGTACCAAAGCACTAGCATAATTGAGCTTCTTTTTCATCATTTCCTCGATACTCTTATCTGTTCGCTTTTCCAGCCTATCGTAGAACCGCCTCTCTGCTGGGGTGAACTCGGCAGCAACTGTTACGACTTTTCGCTCAGTGACCTTAAAGCTTGATGTTTCCTCCTCGCCTTCTTTAGTTGCCTTTCCACTAGCATTGAGAGCACCAGCCTTCTTTAGGATATCTTTGGTTCTTCGTTTCATGAAACACTGCAGCAGGCCGTGAAGGCGTCGCATTGCGACTTCTCCCTTGCCGCCCTTCATTGGTATTTCAAAATGGTCTTTCCATTCTCGGAGATCGTCGTAAGGTTTGATTCTGAGAAACTTGACTAAGCTTTGCAATTCATCCAAGTTGTTTTGCATTGGCGTGCCTGACAAGCACCAACGATATACGCTTCGGAGTTCGTAGCAGGCCTTTGTAGCCTTGGCGTTTCTATTTTTGATCGTGTGTGCTTCATCCAAGATGACGCGGTACCAATGTAAACCGAAACAACCTGTCTTCAGGGTATCTGTAGTGTGGCCATGCTCGGATACGAGAATCTGGTAGGTGGTGATGACTACATCGTATCGACGGAGATCTTCAAACTTCTTGGTACGTTGCGGGCCGTGATGTACAAGCACCTTCAACTTGTGGGATTCAGTCACCTTCTCCTTCAATTCTGCCTCCCACTGACGGATAAGAGCCAAAGGTGCAACGACTAGTGTTGTCTTTTCAACTCCTGGGTGCTTATCTGCTGGCTTCTTGTTGCCTAGAATGAGTGCTATGGACTGCAATGTCTTTCCTAAGCCCATATCGTCTGCAAGAAGACCACCTTTGGGCACTTTACCCTTTTTGACGGGGCCCAGTTCACGACCTTTCATCCACTCTACTCCCTCGACTTGATGTGGTAGGAGTCGAACACTGAGTCCTTCAACGTGTGACTTATCTTCACCTTCTTCTTTCGCATCCTTTCCTTCCTCGTCTTCTATTGAGCCCTCAAGTAAGGCTTTAATGTCAGCGGCGGCTTTCTTAGGGTCAACATATGTGGAGAAAACTCCGGGTTGACTGTATATCGAAACTGGTGCGCCATCCGGAACCGAGATCGGGTTACTAGCTGATCCTGCCGAGTCAGGCTGCATTGTGTTGAACATGGGGGCTGGTGGCGGCTTCTTATCCTTATAAGAAGGCTGCAATGGACCCGTGATTCGTTGAGGGCGATGGTGCTCTGGACGGTTCTTTGGTTGAATAAAGAGGTTTGCGTATTTGTCTTCCATATTTCCTGACAGGACTCGTGATTTGACGGCAGGCCTCGGGGCTGCGTTTGTAGCCGCAGAGTCGTTAACAGATGTGAAGCCTCCCGCACTCATGCTCCCAAATCCAGGTGCTTTCTGGTCGGACGGACTTAAAGTCTGGTTTTGTGTATTGCCATTTGTTTTGTTAGAACTTAATGGACGCAATGGCGCCTTAGGCGGAGCTTGCTCCTTGACCATGGTTGAATGATTCCACCAAGGAATTGCTATAGGATAAGTATCGGTAGCAATCGAATTTGCTATTCCTTCGTCGTCCGTTCTAATTTGAAAATCGTGTTTCGTGTGTCGATTTCGTGTCTTGGACGGGTTGGGTCGCGATGGTCCGATGCGGCTGGTTGCTATCCAACTCTCTGCCGATATACTATGTCCAGCCTGCTGATTTTCACGCAAAAGAGGCGTCTCAGTCGACTTAAAGTCGTTTCTAGGCCGAACTCCAAAGTTATCACCGGGCTTTCTGCCTTGGCCGTGAGTATTCGGGTTGCGAAATGGGGGGGAACAAGGGTCACGATGGGTAATAAACTGACTTCATGAAAAGTTAACTAACTCCCAGATAGTGTAGCTGTCGAACAACTGTAAGTGCTTCCCAAGAAGAAATCAGTTTAGAAAGTAATGAGTTTATTCATTGCATAAGGTACTGTATGCTTGCCAACATCGAGGGCGTTGTTTATTTTAAAGTGTCAACTTGCTGCCTTACGCTTAAAGAAATCTTGTTTACTCTGCACCACCTAATGACATTTTGCCCGGCCAACCAAAACCTTATCGGCTTATCCCCCCTCCATTGAGCCACAAATTCCAGGCAGCCGTTTCATCAGCCATACTTTGGATCCCGCCTAGCGACACAGCCACCGCTGTTAAGGTGTACCTCTATTAGGTACCTATGTACTTCCGTAACTTACCTAACTTCAAATCGTTACATTTTGTCTTAACAAGGGGTTCCCCCTGATAAAGAAACCTATATTATTCACCTAGTATATTGCTTATAACCCATTGCGAAGTATTATTTCAGTATTGGTCAACTAGTACAACTCCACAAAATCATTCGGTCATAACTGATTATACAAACCGGCTTAAGTTCATACAAGTTACTGGAATACTGAGTTGACTATTGATAAAATCTCATGATTAAAGAGAACGCCAATCACGTACGAGCATGCAGGAAACATCAGTTATAAGCATGACGCAATAGATTCGCATGCTAAACTATCTATAAATCTATATATCTACAGGCGAACGCCAAGGTCTCCTCTCATACTTCATACGCACGTAAGCATCAATATCCTCCAAACATGAGCTCGACGAGTCCCTTTACTGGATGTGGATGGTAGTAGGGGACTGGGTCTGGGAGCAGACTTCGTTGTTTCCACCGCCGGAGCGGCAGTTGGTGGCAATCTTGCCGCTGCCAGAGAAGCCGGTACTGTTTTGATAGTTAGCTTGGCTGCATTTTGGATAATATGAGAGTATGAGGGTAAAAACTTACGCAGTTCCAGTCTCGTGGAAGATCTGGAGGGTGAAGGACGAGGCGTCGGTGTTCTCGGTAACCGCGAAGCGGTACTTGGAGTCGCCGCAAGTAATGACGTTGGTGGGCACACCGCTGGCGATCTGGTTGGCAGCGGCCGAGCAGCTGAGGTCCTTGGCGCCAGTGCCGGTCAGCTTGAAGGAGACACCGTCCACAGCGCCGGCAGCGGTGCCGCTGACACCCGTCTTGTGGGCGCTGAAGTCAGCGATGGAAACGTCCTCGGCGGCCATGGCGGCGTTGGCGCCGAAGAGGAGGGCAGTGACAGCGGTGGCGGTGAAACGCATCTTGATGGTTTAGTTGGGTGGGTTTTGGAGGTTGAGAAGTGGAAGATATAGAAGATGAGTGAGTAGATAGATTGATGACTTGCTTGTGTGGTGAGGAACAAAAACCCAAACTGAAGGGCGGCGGGAGCGTGATTCTTATAGCCCTTCGTGAGCTATGGCCTCCAACGTGGAAGACATCTCCATGAAGACATCTCCACGAAGACAAGCAAGCTAGACCAGCTGCCACGATAGGATCGACGTCATTGCATGAATGCAATATAAGTTCCACAGCCCTATGGAGCCTCAGCTAGCCCGATCATTGCCAATTTGGGTTATTCCCCTTTGCACTTGTAGCTGTCCCAGCATTTCTCTTATGGGGAAAAATACGAGCCGCTTGACCAGGAAGAGTATAGAACGTGGACAATACGGGTCAAAATGTTTTAGGGGATGTTCATAACAAGATCGTTAATGCGATGATTGGCTCGATTCGAGCTGAAATGTTTCCGGCAACGTATGCACTTTATTCTTTTAGTCATTCGTGTTGTCAGCCTTTTGGACCCTGATCATACAACTGCCGGTCTATCGGACTCCACTACTCGTTCCGAGTTGCTCTAATACATACATTAGGTTAGACGGTCAGGTTCTCCCGAGCCATACATCCCACCGCAATAGCCTGATCAAAGATGCTGATCTCATCGGTGTGCCTCCCCCAAGAAAGCCAAGACCTCAACGGAGAAACGCTTGTTGATATCGTGTGGGGACGCAGGCAGGAAAGGTCCCGAGAATGCTTAGCGTCATCTCCTTGAAACTACAAGGCAGGAAAAGGCTAGTAATACGAATATAATGATCATCTACTGTCAAGATGGGAGCTACTATTAAATTCAATTTCAATGAAGCCTTACCTATGTTTACTAGTGTAAATAGAATCCTAGGTTATATAATCCATACTATTGGATATCGCCCTAAGTCTTTGTTTCTAGAAATTATAGCTGGAGACTTCCGTTATTTGCCTTGAAACTTGTGGGTAAGGCTCAATGTTATACGTAACAACGTCGTCTAGCCACATATTCAATAGCCTATTCAAACCTACCCGCCCAGCATTCTGTGTATTTCTGCTCTTGGCGGTATCATAGAGGGTACCGTTAATAACTCATAGTTGGAATAGAAACACTTAATAGTATAACATATTATGACCTATCAACATAAATGAACGAAGCATTAAAACATGACGATGTTTATCTTAGTCATTACCTATTTCAAGTAGTACTAGTTATATTATGAAATACTGTTAAGATTCTAGATGAGGCATCTATAACAAAGGACAGGACACTGTTAGCATGTATAGGTAGGTAGGTAGGTAGGTAGCTGTAGACTCTCGTAGCTAGCTTAGAGTTTTTTCGCGGAACAGCAAAGTTGTTTCCATGCTTCTTGCTCCACCTCGTGACAAGTACGTCCTTCATACCATAGCCTCGAGAAGTATTTCCACATATACAAACCAAATATTCCAATAGTTTACTTGTTAATCGAGTTGTGATGTTACACCAGACGATGATCATCATGATTGAATCCAAGTACCTGAAAACGAACACGAACCGTCAAACCCCACAATGCAGGGAAAGGGGGCCCTAGGCCAGGAGGTTGACACGACTACGATGCAGACGATATGGTCTGCGAGTTCTCAACAAACTTGTTGGCGTCCCGTCTCTGTAGCCCCTTTACGTCTTCCCCTATGGCCAAGTTACTTCCACTCTCTTCTTCCTCGTTCGATGAGCTCCAGTCCTTGAGCTCCATTTCTCGAGCTCCTTCTCCTCGCTCTCGTCCACGTAGTCACTATTGTCTGTTTCGTCGACGACCCCGCCAAGACCCGTCGCGCTGATCGGGACTGAATAGGGCGACTCACATTTACCAGATACATAACATAGCAGCGCGGATGCCGGTATCTGGGTACAGAGCTTTTGTACCGCCAATAGAGTCAAAGAGCAACTCGTCCGGAGTGTGAGCCGTTAACTGCCTACGACGGTTCTCCCATACCTCGTTCCTCCTTCCTCATTCCTCAGGCAGTTGTGTATCGGGAACTCTTCCTGCACCGGGACGCCGCCCTCTTTTACATGTTCTCGAATCGCAAGCTTAATGTGGAAGAAGCCATCTGGTGAGTGTATGCTGCAGTGCCACTCAAACAACACAAGTCAGCAACTTGTCAAAAATGTCATCGAGTTTAGGGGATTTGAGAATGTCTTGGACATAGAAACCTCCTATTATGCTCGACTGCGAGACTCTATCCCCTAATATGGATCTAGATGATAGAGTGGAATAAGCTGCAAAATCACGTACGACTTCTCTACCGCTCAACGTCGAGATGACGGCGAAGAATAAGTAGAAATCTGTCGCCTGTGGTGACTTGAAGCAAATGCGCAGTAACTCCGATCTCAGTGTCACTGTGTGGAACTAAGCAGCAGGGAAACGACCTCGATGTTCCGCAGAGAACTCTGGTCCTAACTACGAGGGTCTGTCTATACATACTGAACATTTCCTTCGTTCTAGACGATACATCTAGAATTCTGACAATCTAGCAATGAACTACCACCTTCGAAAGCCGGTAGCCGTAACAATGCTGTATCCTCGTCAAAGAGGCCTGGAGGATGCGTCTCAATATCGTAACCCACGGCTCCGAGCGGCGAATCCTGCCTCCCCTTCGACAGGGGTGGTTTCGTAATCGGTTCGACGAAGAGCAGGATGCCCTGCCTAAATACAGAAATTCTGCGCGGATGATGGTTATAGAGACTTCCAGGCTGCAGGACGAACCGGGACTTAACAAATAGATTGCACCGCTCCCTAGTATCTGTCGCCTTCTTAGATAGGATGACTGGACTCTCCAGAAACCGGCTTCTATCAAGTATATTGGAGCCGGAGCGTCTCTAGTTTTGTCCTTTGCACTGATGGTAAAGTCGGTTAGTAGGTAACTCCCTCGAGAGGGCGGAAATATCTCAAGACTGAAAACAGCAGCTCAATCCCAAGGCAGCTAAGCCAAAAGAGTAAGAAATGGTCTTCGACGTAACAAACCAGGCCAATCCGGCGGCTCCAGCAGCATATCGTATGGCCGTTAGACATGCGAATGATTTCCTTCCAGAGCCGGTCAAACGCCTTGGCCTCTCCCTGCAACAGTGCCGTCTCGATTCCCGTCGCGGCCGAGATATCGTTCGCGAGCTCGGTGCGATCGCCGATTTTAGTCCAGCACCCCGAGTAGAAAGACGAGGCGGCGCGGGCCAATTAGCTCCAGCCGCGACGGGGCCACTTGCTCCCACGGGGCGCACGATCCTCCTTCTAGGTATGCATGCATTGCATAGGTAAGCACACAGTCGAGTGGCGGTACCAGTTATACACGGAGATAATATGAGGTATGTAGCTTCCGTGAGCCCGGCCGAGCTGGCCTCCTTGTCGATGCAATTGGCGTCGATCCGTATCCACTCAATGCCGTCCTGTCGCGCAATCCTGCATGCGCCCTGAATCTTGAGGAAGCCAGCTTTGGTAGTTGTAGATGGGCTCAGATTTATGAAGTCGTGAAAGCTGATTTCCTCGCCGTCGATTCACAAATGACTTGGTATCGCATATGGGGGGACCGTATCGCCTTCGAACTCGCTGAGCCTTCTTATTCACTTGGTTAGTGAGAAGCAAGATTTACTGTTTCTGTTATCGTTTTGACTGTTGGTAATATACCAGGTTAGCTTATATACATAGGTAAATATCCGACATATTCCTATATAATTGATTTTATAAATAGGAAATTAGCGTGGTTCGATTTTTACTTCAAGCATTCCCAAGCCAAACCGAGGGTATTGGTTATATAAATTACATTGGTCACCTTACGTAGGTTTGGGTCCTCAACACAATCCTATATGCAGAATAAACTAACCCTCAAGCTTCCTTTTATCTCCTAAGCTACGCTTCATTGGAAATACATTCACAGCTACCATCACAATTACCATAAAAGTAACATATAAAATCACTCCTGATATTACATCCATTATCTAATAGTATACTTCCGTAGAATTTATGAAGACTATGGAATGAACAGGGGAATCAACCTCAACTAGTTACTAAAACCTCCCAGAAATGCACCTTATGACAAGAAGACCAAACCAAAGCTCTTAGCACAATATTTAAATCTTGCTGAGCTTCCATCCATGTGTACTACTACTATCATTTCCGCTCAAAGTTAGTACGCCGCGTTTTGCCTATAGAAGTCTTGCGGTGCACTAGACTCGTTCCCCGGGGGTACATAGGCTTTGTATTGTGGCTGTTGCGGTTGGCCCAGTGGAGTCTGGCTTGGGAGCGAGTGCCGGGCGTCGAATACTAGGCCACCCGGTTGGAGAGGCTGAGGTGTCATCACGCTCGACGGTGGCTGGACCCCCTGTGGGATCGGAGGTGCAGACCCGGTCGGTTGAGGGGGGATTTGCGAGGGAGCATCATACGAGTCCTGGCGCTGGACATTAGGGTTATATGCCGAATATTGCGGTTGGGAAGGCGCTGAAGGGTGAGATGCGATAGCTAGAGGGGTTGGAACTCCCTGACTTGGCCCCGGCGGGGCTGAAGGAACAGGAGCTGAAGGTGCAGAAGGTGCGGTAGCTGTTGGGCTTGTGGCATAAGGGTCCTCCTGGGAGTAGACTGATGCGGAATAGGGATCGGGTCGACTAGGATTATGGGTGGCCGCAATCGGGGAGTCGTAGGCCGACGTGGCTAATTCTTGAGGATTGCCGTAAGTACTCTGAGGCCGCTGTTCTGCTTGAGCAGGCTGAGAGTACGCCTGGTAAGCTTGAGGTGGCGGAGAAGATGTTTGCAAAGGAGCAGGCTGTTTCCCTGCAGCTATCCGCGAGGGCTGATCTCTTGGCGGATATTGCTGAGGTGGCTGTTGGTTTGCTTGAGCGGGCACTTCTGCGCCTTGAAGATAGAAGGGAGCAGGTGCTGGCGTTAGCCGCTGGAAATTAGGAGGCGGCGACGTAGCCTGATATCGGTTCTGTTCTAATTACATGTGAGCCGTCTAGACTCGTGCAAAGATGCCTGCATCTCACATACCTTGCGGAGGGGGTCCTTGAGGACCAGGTGTGTAAAATCGTTGGGGCTCCTGCTGGCTAGGCGGCGGTCCCTGAGGAGCGAAGCTCGAACCAGGACCTGGGCCTCCTGGACCTCCCGGACCTCCCGGACCTCCCGGACCTCCCGGAACCCCGTACCCGTGTGGCATGAGCGGTCGCGGTGCGTACTGGTGGTAATTTGGTTGGGGCGGGTGGGACATTGAAGATTCTAAAAGTGACTCGTAATCTCTTCTGGCCTTGATGAATTTTTCATTGAGTTGCGTGAAGTCTTCTTTCTTCTGAGAATACTTCTCAATTAACTTGATTAGTTTAGGTCTAATGGCGAGTGTTTGGTGATATAGTTTCTAGAGTGGTGGTTAGCAAACAACTGTGCCTAAACTCGAACCGCCCAAGACATACCGATATCTCCTCATTGTCCTCTTCCCTCGGCGATGCATTAGAGGTACTCAACAATGTGAGAAGCTTCTCCACGTTCTTGATTTCGGCAAACACCTCGGCCTCCATTTGCGCCTCGCGATGGAGTTCATCAGGGGTCGGGTCGGCAAGCTTTTCGACGTAGTTCAAAGGGAAAATACCGGTCCTGCCTTTTAACGAGCCTCGCCACCAATCTTTATAGACGGACTCCAAAACTGCTATAATATCTCCCTTCTTGAACTCTAGTTCGCCGGGCTCAGATGGCGCAAAATCGTAGAGGGCGCGGACTCGCGATACGGTGGCAGCTGTCGTGCCTGTGGGATGGGAAGGCACTGATTCCACCGGAGCAACCGCTGTACTCGGTCCTGCGCTAGAGCTAGGTCCTGCGACGGAAGATGTAGGTTGCGTGCCCTTTTTCCTCTCTTCTTCTTGTAACGATAGCTTTAGTGCTATCTGTAGCTCTTCCTCCTCCTTCTGACGATCTAAATCGGTAAGACCGGTCTTCTGCGGGGCTGAGGGTGGCTGCAATGTCGGATTACTCTGCTTAAGGCGGTAGTAGGCATCGTACATAATCCCGAGGTCGGCATCCTTGCTAAACATATCGGACCACTCCTTCATCCTTTCGAGGATCTTCACCTTGACTTGTTGGTGGGTATTACGATCGTTGGCAAGCTTAAGTAAGGCATCGGTAAAGGCGCGGCTGGCAAGCTCTCGGTGCATATTCTTGCCGCAGTTCTGGGAGAGCGCATTTGCGAGCTGATAAACCGGATATGGTCAGCCTGAAAGAAACTAAACTCGTTTATTAGAACACCTAAACACCTACCTCGAGGGTGTAGAGCTGGACATTCGCGTTGCGATGCGCCAGACGTTTGATTAAACTCTGAACTGCTTGGTTGGGGCCATTTGGATCGCTCCCTACTTTGTCGCAGACCTCTATAATGGCCCCCCAATCCTCCGATGTGAGATTCTCATCGGTCGCCTTAGCTGAGAGTAATGCTATGTCAGTTTGTAACTACGTTGGTGGCTATATGCGATTACGTTGCATGTAAACATACCGATCACTTCGTCATAAGGTCCGACTGCTGTTCCCCGAAACATGCTGGGCAGCAGGAGGGGTGAAGAAAAAGACAATGCTTATGACTTGGAGATTGTCGCTAATTTAAACGTCGGGTTTCTCGTTCTTATGTATAGGTTTGAGTTGGGTATTTTCTGACAGGCGAACGATTTATTAAACGTATGACGGTGGCGTTGGGTATTTGTGGTTGTAGCTGCAATTGTATTGTAGTTGTAGTTGTAGTTGTAGTTGTTAATGTTAAGATGATGATTATATAGTGGTGGAATAATAAGTAATAAGGTACATGCACTAAAGCTTGCAGCCTGGACAATGTACATATGTACATAACATGCATTGAATTGATGACGTTGGCCTGTGCTCCCAGCTTTCTTACCCCCAAGGCTTGGCGCAATGGGGCAATGCAAGTGCCCGGACAGCCCTGACCATGGATTCTGGAACAATGGATGCCCCATTAAACCTTATTAAACAACGCGCAATCCAGTGACGTTAGAATATTTATAGTGTTATTTCTATCAATACCTACCTATTTTACTGCGCCTCAACTTTCCGAATTTCGGCCCAGGTGGAACAAAGGGCAGAATCCAATATTTTGAAGATCGTTCTATTTCTACTATCAACAACCCAGTAGTAAAGCTCGTAAAGACATGTTTATATTTATAACATCAGGTATTCATATATAGTTATAATCGTAACTAGCATCAGTTCCTTGGTTGTGGTCCAAGCATTAACATAAATCTCTCAGGGCATATTCATATATAGCAAGATAGATCGCGAAATATATATGTACTTCGATTCAGCTCGTAAATACCCATCATCTCATATACATACAATTATGAACCTAATGAAAACAGCTCCAAGAGCCGAAAAGAGTTTCATGTAGTAGCGTTGTACTATATCCTTTCTATTCCATCTACAGGCGATGCGTTCTCAGGGATGGGACTTTGCCCCAGGTTCCCTTTGTAGTCTTATAGCACTCCATCCGCGACCCTAAACTTGAGATCAAACGAGGCCATCCTCATGCAGAAATGCCGGCCCTTCTGCCATGTTCCGGGACCAAAAAACGCCAGACGGTCTTCCTCGAGCGTGATATGATAATGGACCTCACAAACCCCACTCTAGACTCCGGCCGTCATCAAGAATAGTCATGTCCGTCCAAAATGCCATCAAACTCCTATCAAAACAACTTCCGCGCCATCCAGGAAATAACAATGGCAGTCTGTAGGTGCAGTAGATCTCCGAGGACGTATCCATGTCCAGCAGCATAAAGAACCCGCCGCCACCTAACGAATTCCTATTCCATACATATATCATCAATCCGCGACCAAGACAAACATTACACAACAATTTCTTAACAACGAAACGAAATACCCACATAGGGTTGTAGGTAGGTGTAGTAGGATACGAAATTTTTACCAACGGCGGTTCCTATGGCTTGTTTCGTATCCTCCCCTGTCACCTGTAGACCCCACGCTGCCGCCACCCCTGCCTTCCTCGAGACTGCGACGTGATTGTTCGCGGGTGATCTCCGACATGTCGAAAAGAAGCGGCTCATCATCGGTCTCGTCCGCGACAGTACCTGCCACACCTAGCCCGGTAGCACCTCCGCGTGAATAACCTCTGCCGAATCTGCCACTAGATCCTGCTAGACTGCCGCTTCCAGAATGGGGAGGTGTTATTCCCCGGCCAATGCTATTGCCATAACGTCTAGTATAGGGTGAACTAGAAAATCCGGTATAAAGACCACCAGGAGGCCGGACTTCTCGTTCAACGGATTCCGACTCCTGTCCGAGCGTATCCGGCGAATTAGTTGTCCTAATATCGACAGGGGATTGTAACCCAGGTGTATCCACCGCGCTATTAGCTTCGGCAGCACCTAATCTTAGCAAAACGCTCAGACTAGGCGGCTCGCGGTCATCCGCGCCAAGACTGATGCTACGATGCGCGTCAACATCATCATCATCAACCAATGCGCGGTTTTGATGAGCCACGGAGCTTGATCGCCTTCCGTGCGGATAAGGCCGCGGAGAGGTAGGAATATCGATCGCAGTGGTTCCCTCATGAGTAGCTTGTACACTGACTGGCTCTTCCGCAAGGTCTTCGACATTGCGCGACCGCGACGTAACCCTTGCGGTAGGCGCGTAGTCGACACTTGAGTTTTCGCTCAACCGGGATGGAATGGCCGGCGTGTGCGGAGTATGAGGTGATAAGGGTTTCCCCGGGGATGACGATGTCGACATCCCTGGCACGTTGGCTAACTGTCGACTTGAGGAGCTGGACGAACGGTGTAATTGCATAGACGAGTTCATGGATTCAGTGAGCGCATTATTCGACTCGCGCATAAGATGGAATTTAGATAGCTGAGCGGCTGTCCTCTTAGTCGCCGACTCGCCCTTCTTGATAGGTTCAAAACTTTGTAGTGTTCTCTTGCTTTCAATTAGCTTCAAGAAATCCTGAATGTTATCGTCATCGGTCTGGAAGGACCCGGAACTGCCACCCGCCCCGAGTTCATTAAATAAGCCGGAACCAGGTTGTACAATGGAAGATGAGAGACTTTGCTTGCCGCTGCTGTTCTGGTCGTCGTCTCCTCTATTAGCACCGCTAATCGATGGCCGGCTACGACGATGCGTGAAGCTACTACTAAACCGATTAGAGACTGATGGCCGTGGCGAACTTGCAACAGAGTTATCTGCTGCAGTTGAAGGTGGTGCTCCTCGTAAGGAAGCAGCCATTCCAGCTGTTAGTGAGGAACGACTCCTCACGTGTGCGCTTAAACCTGAGGTCCGATTGAGGGAATGCGGTGACGGAGGAACATCTTGGTCCTGCAATCGAGTTACGGGCGAGCTCGAAAGGGAGCCATGCTTGAAGGGAGATGACTGAAAGGAGACAGACGGACGTCTCGGACCGTCTACCCCTCTAAGAGATGGTCGCCGAGCAGGTCCGGTAATAGGGAGAGTGTGGGGAGGAGCTTCCACGCTCGCAGGTCTAGAATCGGTCGGTGAGCTAGTATCCGAGCCTGGGGCTTTGACAGCTTTTAACGCTGAAATCGGGCTTGTGCCAACGGGCCCTTCGCCATGAAACGTAGATAAGCTACCGTATCGTTGCTGGTTCTCTGTGACGTCTTGTGCGTGGCGATGATATGGAAGCGACCCAACTTCGGGGGCGTATGATTCGCGGCGTCCATGGCCACGATGGGGTAGCGACGGCTTAAACATGTCATCAGAGATAGTCATGCCGATACGGGAACTTAGTAAAGATTCTGTCTCGACGACTTGGAAATTGCAGTTGTTGCGGTAAGAGACAGAAACATAGAAACGTCCCACAGGGATTTCCAGGTCGCCAAACACGCAATCCGTAGAAACATCCCCCCTTCCGTTATACAACGGCATCCTCAGGGTGTCGGACCCATACGCTGGGGCCTCACCTGAAAAGACTCGGCAGCGAATTGACAATGCGGGATGGCTGCCTTTAGTCTTGGAGTTCCTGGCGAGTTTCCATGCGGGCAAGATACCTGTAGTCGTATATATGGATCGCATCAAGACAATGGCCTTCTTGTATACTGTTGGAAGCAGCAGACCAAAGTCGTCTGATTTATCAGGATTTGGCCCTTTCAAATCAACACGCCACCGTTCTAATACAAGCCGCGTAATGGGCTCGCCCTGACGACCAGAGCTGCTATCGCTGGATTGATCGGAAGAGTTGAGAGCTTCAACAACGTCCCATCGTTTCCCATTTTCGTCTACAATTACTAGGCTCTGACCGCCCTTCAACCAAGACGCATCAAGATAGGTCTCGATAACTAATGGAGGGGGTCGATTTTCGAATCCACCGCATTGTTTCCATATGCGAAACTCTTCTCGGAAATCATCGATATCGTCCGTATCGAGCTGGAACTATAAGTAGCACATTGTGAGATTCATTGCAAATACCCCTATTTAAGATTTAGACTTACCCATCGACTTGTTCTCTTCTCGTGGGACCTACCCACGAAAATGGGAGTTACCTGTATGCGTGCCTGCAGGATGACGGTACCTGCCTTCGAGTAGATATTCTATATTAATAGATTACCTGTCAGAATTCATGAATGAGGCAAGCCGGGGAACAAGACACCAACCTGAATGATCTGGTCCAATTTCTTGATGGACTCTCGAGTAGGACCGCCTGCATCACCGCGATTACCGCCACCAGCTCCCGTCGTCGTCCCTTCCTGAGCCCTGGAGCCCGGCCTAGACGATGGGCGACTGCTAGAACCTGCCGGATCTCTCTGGTTGTTGGTTCTTGTGGGGTTTGTCTGGGACGATAAGGCGGGCGAGGCTGTGCGAGGCGGGGCGCGGGGGGTCTGATGCATCGTGAAGTTGTCGCGACCCAGGCTACGGTTAGCCTGGTAGTAAATGAGTGAAACCAAGGGAAAAGAGGCGTAATTGATTTGCCGTTCGGGTCGGACGATGCACAATCTCGAAGATATATCGAGTAATCTGTGCCACCGGGCGCAGCAGAGGCGATATAACGGGCGAGCTAGGGCGTATTACGAAGGCCCAAGTACGTTCGTTAGATGGAAACGGAAGTTCTAGCTCGATGCCACCGAACTTTGGCATCCATTGTTCGTAGCCTAGAATATAGGGCAGACAGGTAGGCAGACAGATAGGCAGACTAAAGACTAAAGTATCCACAGAATGTTTATACAAGCTTATACAGAAGTCGAAAGAGACAGCCAGTCGCGGCGTGTATAGGCTGGACGGGCTGGATGTTGAAACACGTAGGCAGACATGCAACGACAGAAGAAGAGGAGGGTCCAGACAAAGCGTCGATTGTGTTGAATTGGATTGTCTAAGTATCGATCTGTGTGTTAATGGTATTAATGGGTGACCGGTAGAGGAACGTGGCGGGCGGCTCTGCTAACTGGATGCGGGTGGCTGCAGGGTTTTGGCTTTTTTGGGGGGGGAGGGAGGGAGGGTTGTTTAAGGAGCTAGGTAAAGCTGGTAAAGCTGGTTAAGCTGGTTAAGCTAGGTTTATTAGGTGGACAGTGCCATTGTCGCTAAATGTGCCTGAAGAGGAGGGGGAGGAGAGAGATGGTTCAAGGTTCAGGGTTGATGGTTAATTGTCGATGGTTGATGGTTGATGAATGATTGCCCAAGTCAAAATCTCGATCCTATCAGAGATGGAGATGGAGATGGAGATGAGAGATGGAAGATGGAAGATGGAAGATGGGAGATGGGAATCAGCGCAATCGAACAGCGGTATAGATGTGAATGGCAGATAGCAAATGACAAATGATGCGAACTGTGCGATTAATCGCGAGAGATATTCAGACTTGGATAAAAGAGACGAAAGAGTCAGACGGGCTTCTCCTCGTGATCTCTTTTTCCCAGGGTTTCCAAGGGGTATCAAGGACCTTGTGGCCATCCGTCATCGGTCCGGACCGTGCTAGTTGAGGATTGGCGGAGAGTTGGGAGAGCCGACCGAAGCAGGCAGTAGTAATAAAAGGCACAGAGGCACAGAGGCACAGAAGCAGAGGAGAAAAAAAAGAGATAGGATGACGAGCCGACCGCCTGATAAGACTTAATGTGAGATAGGGTGAGATAGGGTAAGTACCTAGGTAGGTATCTAAGTAAGTAAGCCAAGACTAAAATATTAATTTGATTGGTCCGCTACGACGATTTCGTTAGCTGTTTTAGTACATAGAACCTTAAGTAGTTACGCATAGATACATTACATGCGTTGCTTATCACGACATAAATTGTACAGTATGTATATCAATGTATAAGACTGTATGTAAGGAACATTTGGACATTTATGTAAGTCAGACTTCAAAGGATAAGACATGCAACTTTTCCCTTTTCTATAAACCTTCGAGAAAGTTACCTAACTACACCTAACTATAGATAGATAGATACATGTAACAATACGATTAAGGGTCCAGCACGCGACATGTAACGAATTGAAAGATGATCAAAGAATAAGAACAAAGATATTAATAAAGCGACGCGTGGACAATAACGAATTTTAGTGGTCGACTTAAAGTAGGTACCTCCTAACCTGATGTACCTGGATATACTACAAATACCAAAGACTCACTTAAAATACCCGTTCCTGACCTCTTATTCCCCAGCTATATGCAGGATTGTGCTGCGACCAGGCGGGCCACAGGCACGGAGCCACGCAGCAACGGCAGGGCTTTGCAGGGGCCATCTCCAATCAGTACGAATAGAGAAACCGGAGACCAGGTTGAAGTTGTACGTATGTGTGTTGTTTAGGTAGGTATCTACGTATCTACGTATGTCTACATGATAGACATCCATCTTGGTGGCAGAACCGACTGGGTCAGGTCAGTAATCATCTCCCCCTTAAAGTAAAAACGTGTCTTGGGTCCCCTATCTATATAAATTAGGGTAAAGGGCTGACCTATTACACCCCTATTACACCTCATATGCCCTTTGCTACATTCACCTTGTTAGATAACGTCGGTAGGTCACTAACACACCGGTTCATCTGACCAACTTGGTTGAACATACCCAGTATGTAACTATACCACGTCTGATAAGATGTCCCCGTGTAGGTGAAAAGAAACATGTTACCCCCTAGCTGTAGATTGTTCCTGCGTTGGGAAGTTCTTGGTTGTATGCATGGCAAATCATGTTGCAATTCTGACGGCTAACTCGGATTAAATATCATTGGACCACTTCACTCTTTATAAAAGCATACGATGCAGCATGTAATAAGCACGGTCTGTTTCCACGATACTTGTTCCCATTTACACCACCCCAAATAACTCCCCCGGCTAACATCAACTGGCAGTATTCAACACCGTGACGTGGCGATTGAATATAAATGATATTTATTTATGTACGACAACTCGCATATTAAACGCCTGAAGCCTACTGGAAGCTCGTCTCGAGTAAATGAGGTTTCCTATCCTTCAGTCCCAGCAGCATCTCTCCAAATAAGCCGTTGGCCCAGGAAAACCACTCCCGTGTCCATACTGACGCATCAAACGTATCTACAGATTCGTGAATCAACCCCAAGCCGTCGGTAGATGACACCAGCTCCTGCAGTCCCGTAAGGATCTCATCGTCGTCGTCGGAAGTCAAGAGTGACGTGATGATCGACATTGGCCAGGCTTTTCCAGGCCCCACGTGAGGACCTCCGGTACTGGCTGCACGTTAGCATCGTTACTTTGAATCGTGTCCTTCATATAGGCAAGCATGGAAAGCCCACGTACCCATTCAGCACAGGCCCGTGCATATAATACGGGTTCCACGTTGAAAGCGCAAATTTGCGGGTTCTCTGATACGTCTCGTCCGATGTATCTAGATAATCTAGAATCGGTGCGCTCAGTAAGCTTGGGACGTTGGCATCGTCCATCAGGTTTCTCGACCCAAACCCATCGACCTCATATGCGTATATCTCTCCCAAAACTTCGTGCTGCACCTTGCCGTATGTTTCAATTCCTTCTCGCACGCTGGATGCGAAATCGCTCATGCGCTTTGCGAGTTCGGGGTCGTGCGCCTCCATAATCTTGGCGGATTTTCCAAGATAGCTCGAGAATTGCATGTTTGCCGGAATGAACAGTTGGTAAATGGTTGAGTCGTCTGAAGGGCGGAACGCACTACGAACCAATCCGGTACCGCTCTTCACGGGGTTTCCTGCTCCTGTATTCGCAAGAGTCTCTGTCGCGCTGGTGCTTTGCCGTTGAAATGTATAAGGTGACTCGTTAACAGATCCGTCATCGTCATACGTTCCAACCAGGAGACCTTCCGTCACGTTGAGAATTGTCTCGACAGCTTCAACCCATCGGAATTTGCCAAAGAAGTCGGAATCCTCAGTCTTGTTGTAATAGTCGTATGATAATTGCAGGAAAGCCGAAATCGAATCAAGCTCGTACTTGCATTCAAAAACAAAGCTGGTGTTGTAAGGGGGCGTCACCTTGTCGGTATCTGCATATCCATTATTCTCTGGTGGTAAACCTGACTCGGCCGGTGCTTGGAACGCATTACAATATGGATTTCGGATAACGTATCGCGCCTGTAAGTTAATCGCACCGCGGTAGAGCGATGCTATTGAGTCGGGAGAATCATCTGCCTTGAGAAGTGACTTATAACTACGCAACTGGTTGGCTGAATCGCGGAGCCACATAGCCACAATATCCCCAGTCGTGACAAAGGTAAGCTTAGACGGTGTTAATATGATAGGTATTAACGAGCATAGAAGCGGATCAGTATACCTCTTCCGTCGAATCATCTTCCGCATAGCCTTTCCATTTCACCGTGGTGTCTAGTGTGTTCGGGAAGGTATTTTCAAATAGTCGGAAGAGATCCGGGTCCTTCACCACCGCTTTCATATCTTGGATGGTCTTTTCGACATCCGAAACGTTGGCTGTCCGACACGCAGCTATTGGCCTCTGGTATGAGAGCTGATACTTCCCCGCCGAGAAGGGCTCGTGGGTGGCCATAGCGTAATCCGAGTAATCAGGACATTGTGCTGAGACCGTAGACAGCCCCCCGAGGAAGAAAGTGGATAACAAGACCAGAATACGCATTGCACCTAACTCTAGAGTCTTGGAGGGATCTCCAAGAATGAGTGATGGATCAGGAATACCTGCAGACGTGAGTATGGGGTTACCCCAAGGGAAAAGGGCGAGGCGTCCAGTGATATATGAATTCATCAGTTTGACCTGTGCTTTGTTTTCCCCAGCTGGACTTTCTGGACCGCAGATCGGCGCCAGGCTAACCTTGCTGTTTTGCTTGCAAAAGATTCCTGACTGGTCATGTTTATCACCCTTGCAGACGCCCTGGCTGCCTCGAATGAGCATATGACGTTAATTTGGGGGAGCTACCATTGTAGTGGACCGTGGAATAGCATGAATAGAGCCGAGATAGGTCGATGAGAATGCGGGGAAAGCCTTGCTGCATTCTCAATGGGAACACCGCAGGGGCGGGAACTCGTGATCATTCAACTGTTTGTCGAATGGTTTTTTGTTCCCCGACCTGGGCACCGCACTTTATTGGTAGACTAGCAAACAGGGAACTGGTTTACTTGCTGTCTTTCCGACAGCCGAGTCCTTCCTTTGTGAGCTTCCTAATGAAGCTTTGCTGATCGGCATCTCCCCCGCTCTTGAGGCTCATGGATAAGTTGGGGTAAAATGTCCCTGAATGATATGTAAACATGGGGCATTTTCAGGATTTTCAGGTCCAACGCGAGAGGAATGGTAAGTTAAAGCACAGACGTTTTACGTATTTCATTATTTGACTGTTGGTCTTTAGAACGGACTAACTCAATTTAGTTCTGTATAATTAGTCGGTTTTTATTACTTCTTCATTCCTAGGATGTTCAGCCAAGTTGTGTTTATGTTCAAGTTGACAAAGTTACCTAACGTACAAATATTTATATCAGATATCCAACACATAACTGCTACGCTTCATCTGAAATCCAGATAGATACCTAGGTACACAGGTAATTTGTCCGAAGATCATTATGACATGAAAAATACATCACCCTCACCTCCATAACCCTAAGTACGCTCATTCTATGACTTCTGCTGAATATCCCTCAACTTATCTAACGCTTCACGCTTGTGAGATTCCATGTCCAACTCGAAAATGAAATTCCATCTTGGCGCGAGTAAACCCCTCAACTCATTCGCGTGGAGATCTACCCGTCCACAGAGTATCTGACCCGTCTCACGACTGGAATCGATGACTCGCTGACACCGAGGACGCCTTAGCAGGTCGTACGCTTCGAATGCAGCATTAATCTCACTTAGTGATGAGATGTTGGCGAAAAGGGTCCCAAGAACAATCGCGTCTTCAATGGCTAATCCTACTCCGGAACCCTGCCACGGCGTGGTTGCATGGGCAGCATCGCCCATAAGGCAAACGCGTCCGCGGACGTGTGTTGAGGTCGATTTATGTTCCCATTGAGAGTACTTGTGAGGTCCTGGTTGGTCGCAGATAAGCTGCGAAAGGGTTAGATTTCTCCTAGACCTAGAAGTAGGGTCAAATATGGTATGGCTTACGCTAATCATCCCGTCTGCAATCGGGCCACCCAACCAGCTACTCAATGAGTCTCTCAGCGTATCTTGTGTGAGCGGGCGCTTTCTGTCTCGACTTGTCGAGGGATCTTCTTCAATACCTGATACCACACACTGAACCATAGTTCCGTTTTCTAGGACGTCATGCATGATGAATGCCCCGTCTCTAACCCAACTGTACTACCGGTCAACGTCGAAGTATTTCTCGCCTAGAATTGACTTTGCTTTCTCAAATGGGACAACGTTCCTGCAGTCCCAAAATCCGGCTGGCGAAGCATAGTGTTGTTCATCTGCTACAATGCCCCGAAGAATATGTTCCCGAACCGTGCTGAATATGCCGTCTGCGCCAACCACTGCATCGAACTAATAGACTATGCCATCTTGAAAATTTATTTCGAAACCGGATTCATTAGGGTTGATGGCTGTGAGTTTCTTATTAGGATGCAGGGCTTCTTTTGGCAACGGGGCGAGAAGTTCACGAAGGAGAGAAGCTCGGTGAACAATCATTTCATGGTCATCCGCGGCAAGGTCGAAGACGATAGTTCCCGCCTCGGGCCCCGAGCCTTAGGAAGCTTGTTAGTGAGGCCTTTGAAATCGAAGACTTACTTGGGTATATGGTATGTTCCTTACCAAAATAACTCGGGAGGAGTTCATGGGCATCCCTCCTGCTTTAGCGACAACATCCGCGCTTGAAGAAAGGATCTGGCTTAGAGCTAGCTGGGCGTTCTTAGTAAGTCCTACTGCCGCGCCACGTTCCGAGAATGTGGGGGCTGATTCGAAGACATAGACATCTACTTGGGGGATATGGGCAAGAGCGTTGGCCAGTGCAGCTCCAGCCAGTCCTCCCCCGATGATGGCCACATGGAACTGGTTTCCCATTATTAGCAACCAATCTTATGTTACTAGTCTCGCCTCAAAGGTCTAGGCCAAGGGAAAGTACTGTCTAAGTCAACAGCCCGTTTGAGAGTTAAGAACATGTGTTAATGTAACTGACTGGTCTTGTATACTGTGGATCGAGTAGACTTTATAGTCAATATTTGCTGTAGGTAGGTAGGTACCTAAGGTAGGTAAGTAGGTAAGGGAGATAAATACCGTAGTATTGATAGTGTGTTGGATGTGACCAGCTCCCAACTGGTGTGAAGAGACCAACTAACCAAGCTAAATATAACAAAGTCATTCGTTACGCACATATTAGCAAGCTGCCATGTTACGTTTGCTGGACAGAGCGACCTTGCTTTGTGCAGCGTCTGTTTTACCAACACAGGGGCTATACATGGTTCAAGGCTATATGTAGGCGATATAAATAGACTACGCGTGGATAGCTAGGGCTGGCTGTCAATTTCACTTAACTTGACTTTTACTAAACCCGCTCTGGTAAGGTATCTGTATATGCAGATATGTACTTGAGTAAACACCGTCTCTCACAACACTGAAGCTAGGGTCTCTGGTTTCGCTATGGTTAGAGCCCTTAAATTACCACATATATGGTACTACTGTCGTAGGTTTCCCTAGATACACTAGATGCTTACACTACTTCTACAGTGTATCCATCGTCTACATTAAAATTTCCTTTACAGTCAAGTTCGAGGTCGGTGTGTGTGGATTGTAGTTTGTTTAAGGACTGGAGTTATTCTAGATAAATCCTAGACAGCGAACAGTTCGTGATGGTTTATTCTGGGATAGAATGACGAAGTAGGCTAAGTTAAATGGGAACCTTATAAGATGAGGTAGATTAGGAGGTACTCATTAACCTGAACCCATTTTACTTTATGCCTCTCAAGGTGTGTGATATGTTTAATTCAAGATTACTATCTAATATGATGAGTCTTTACACACTTTACAAAAGCGTTTCGCGTTACTAGATACCTAGGTAGGCTTTGGAAGAGGTTCATTACCTTAGGTGGTACCTAACCTAATGTATCGTTTTAATTCATGTGGTAAAGAATCATCCTGAAATCTAAAAGAATCTATAGAATTGAAAAACCCACCTACTTAGACCACATAAACCAAATATCTACCTAAGATTGTATCAACTTAATAATAACCACCCTAATGTAAGCTGTCCCCCTACCGTGTAATACCCCCGTTCAAGCATGGATACGCTGGATGAGCTTATCCCCGAGGCCTTGAATGCTTTTCTCGAATTCCTTGTAGTTCTGTGCATTCCACTTAGCCCCGTTCTTGCCAGGAACGGCATCGTTACCAGTGAAAGCAATGTACAACACGTCGTTCTCATCGTGTCCGTTGTTTCCAGTTATCCCCTTTCCGAAGCAAGCGGTAGCCAGAGAAATTGAGGCTTCTCCAACAACGGACTTCTCGCCGTCGGAGCCGTTCTCGTCACCCCAGACTCCATAGATCTTATCTCAGTTAGCTCGCTGTCTTCCTCGTTGGTAGGGATAGATAGGTATTCCTTACCAGCTTATCACCACATACGACAGCCATCACACTTAATGGCTTAATGCCGTGCTCCTGAGGGTCGAATGATGTGAAGCCGGGCTTGTCACCTACGTTTCCGAAAACGACGTAGGGGTGGATCTTAGCATCCAAGTCTCGAACACCCTTTCCATATCCTCTTACGGTATCGGCGAAAGACGTGATTGACTGAGTATCGTCGGAGTTTCCGCAACGGCCATCGTCAGCAGGGCCGCCCTGAGTTCCGTCGCAGTCGATATCCATGTTGGCGAACTGGCTATTGCTACCTTGGATATAGATGACCTTAGAGTCTTCCAAATGGTCCCCACAGTAGCTGAAGGCTGTGCCACGTTAGCCCTGCATAGATAAGTATAAGAAGGGTGGAATTTGTTACAATTGTCGTCATTGTATTCACTGTAAAACCCTGTAGCTAGAGGATAGCTGCATTGGCCACTGTTCTTGATATTGTTGTAGAAGTTCCGAACGTTCGATGGAACGTCTCTAGCAAGAGTTGCACCTACAAGCGCAGAGACACTGATGAAGCTCTTGAGAGACATTTTGTGGTATGAGACGGATAATGATATGCTATCTTGCAATGTTGATGAATGGTGGTGAATGTTTGGTTTACAGAATCTAGCCTATATTGAACGGAACAGTCTGGCCCTATTTGTATGAATTCATTCGTAGGCTGCTTATGGATTAACACATGCCCCTTTCTATAAGGAGTGCCATCGTGCGGTTCTAATAAGCTCACCGTTGCCAAGACGGGGCTGTGGCTATAATTAGATACTAGATATGGATACTGTTTACGGAGTGTTGTAGCGATTCTAGCAGAACTGCGGCTGAGATGAGTGACATTTAATTGAGTATGACATAAATGGCGTGTCTCTGATTAGTTGTAGCTAGATTTTGATGGCACCAACTTATTGAATATTCTGACAGATTTACCAAATATTGTATCAATGATCCCGAGTTTGCTTTAATGTGGTCCAGAAACGATCCACACGCGAAACAGTAATTGACTGTTCCGGAAGCTGAGATTTGGTGACTAAACCCTTTAAATAGGTTTCCTTCTGTGAAGCCTCAATCCATGCTATTCTATTGGCTTACTCGTACAGCAGTCTACGCGATATACTACCCTGTATTCCCCATACTGTAACTTCATATAGCAACTCCTTCCAAACTTGGAGGCGCATTGGTGAAATACAGGCCCGGATTTTACTCAACTTATATTCATAAGACAATTGACTCCTTCCTGTCTGGGGTCTGAAGATATAATACGTACTATTTTTCTAGTGACCTAGAAGTCAAGATTGATATATTCGATACTTTTGGCTGACGCTTGTTGCGTTCGGACAATTTTACTTATCCTTGAAGGTAATAAGCAACGGACTTGGCGGCTTGTAATATTATTAGGACTCCACTAGGGCCTTTTCTTCGGTCTGTACACTTATTTGAGACCATATAAGCTCTTATACCCCATTTCTTTTAGTTATTGTAACTTGAACTTGAAGACACAACATTCAATCTAGGGTACGAAATCCTTTACGAAATCATTCGTCCGTGGTAGGGTATGTCTGTTCTATCTCGCAATGTCTACTAAGTCTACCAAGTTTCTACCGAGCTCATCGAAAACATCCCTAGTTGTCATAACTATTCCGGAAGTATAAGTTGAGATAGAGGGCGTACTTTTGAAGTACCTGAGGTAACCTTTCATTTCATCCATATCATTCTCCGAATTTCCTTGGGTACCTAGGTCATGCAGAATCTTAGTGGATAGATTTGCCTAGAGCTGAGCATGATATTGCTTTTTTGATATGCTATCTACAATTTTGATTGATTAATACATTGTTTTACTATCCTCACTAACATTTCCGCAGTCATGATGTCATCATTCATCATGGATATGACTTAGAAATCGATCACAATGGCTTTGGAAGCCATAGCCCCTTAATAAAAGCTCTTGTCTCTTCGATTACTTTTACGCATTTCTAAATTTAATCTCATCATTTATCTTAAAATATGCCTTCATCAACATCACCGCATCCCGACCAGCGCGGTGTAGAACCCCATCCCGATAAACCTCGAAATGCCAATGGGGTGGTGGACTATACTCCTTATCCGGATAGCTCTCTACAAATTTCAACATCTCGGAGGGGAATACAACAGAAAATAATTAATCTATATTGTGGGAAGGCATCAGAAGAGAACATGCAAGTATATGCTGAGAAGGCTATCTATGACGACCCTTTTAGTTACTGTGATACGAGGTACGTTTACTTGAGAGGCATTTGTAACAGTCAATATAACCTGACTGTTTTTAGATACAAGATAGCAGGCCAGTGGTACGGCCTCCCGAAGCTCTTCTCCAGACTTGAATCGTTGGCAACGGAGGTCACGTCTTCGACGGAGCATGAACTCGTTTGGAAGCAGAGACATAGGTATACATTTGCGGGTATCCACGTATCAAAGACTGTGGATAGCCTAGTATCCTTGAGACTTGAGGGTGAGGTACCTAATGAGAAGGTCGTTTACCATAAAGAAATGTGGAATGAGAAGGATTATTCCCATGAAGGTATAGGGGCTCTAATGAAGAAGTTGAATGGGTAAGTCAGTGATAAATCCGAATGTTGAGATAGGAAGCTTACGAGAGATTCCTTTAGCGATAAGTTAACAAGCGTTACCAAGCCACCTGAGTCTGCCTAGGACATCGACTGGAGAAATAACGCCTAGCCTGAATCAGTATCTCGGTACTGGATAGTTACCAGTTCGAATAAAGACATAAGTCTAAATCATTCATTTAAGGATAGTTAGGATACATAATACAATGTATTTTGCGAATAGCATAAGAAATTGCCTCCAGTTTCCATCGGCCCAATACCATATTTGGAAAAGGAGGCAAAAGAGTGTGACAATATACTGTAATTTCAAGTACGTGTAACTAACGGGTCTCCCCGGTCTTGTTTCTGCCGTCAGGGGCCCGCTATCGATGATCCATCTTAACGAGTTTCTCAAATGCCTCATCAGTCTCGTCATCTAGGTCACCTCCACCATCTGGTAAAGATGCTCGCAGTCGCCTAGCTTCCATTCGTTGTATTTCTGATTCCTCTTGTCTTGAGGGGTCCATTCCCAATGCTTTTGAGTAGGCGTGCACACATCGAGCGAGAATACCCGTTGGTACATTTACGAGTTTCCCGATAGCTGTCGCCTTTGCTGTTTCCTCTCTTTGAATATGGTCAATGTCTGGTTTATCGAAAGGAAAATTGTTGCGATTTGCTTACATGGCATCATCGAGACGACCTTGCTTCATTGCCACTTGGCCTACACGATATGCACAATAGGAGCTAAGCCAACTGAAGCGGGCAGCAGTCCCGGATATTTCTAGCAAGTGCTTAGCTGTCTCAGCATGTTTCTTTGCTTCATCGAGGCTATTCATTCTGATTCGAAGCGAAGTAAAAGTAAGATGGGCACTAGACAAAACGGTGTAAGGAAGGAGGTTTCCTCATGTCGGGGGAGATAACATACTAAACTTGCATATACCAACTCTGTAGTCGATTTGCAACTTCCAATGCATGGCGTAGAATATTACCGGCTTCTTCGTATCTGCCCATACAATAGTAGTTACGCGAAATATTATAACACCATACCAGTTTCCTCGAGGGATTCTCCTCGTTTGGGCCTTCGTAAATCTTTCCGGCTTTTAGTAGCCACTCTAGACCTTCTTCATAACGCCCTTGAGCACCAGTGGCCATTCCAAGGCCGCTATATGCAACAGCTACGAGCAGGTCATTCGGGGGAAGTAACTCCAAACGAATACGAAGACTTTCAGCCATTTCCAATTCCGATTTGATAAATTCAGAAGTACAAAAGTGATGTATGCATTTCAGATATTGTAGCAGTGCCCAAAGTAGCCTATCCTGGTTTACCTCTGTGCATTTGTGAAATGCCGAATCAGCAGTATCAAGTAACTCCGGAACGATGTTAACTGTATCATTGTCGTGTATCGCACTATTAGACGGTTAGTCTGTCTTATAACGAGATGCGGTTAACTTACTAAGAGGAGTTAGTAAGAAGTCTCACAAAATTCTCGTTTGGTTTTAGAGGCTTTGGTTTAGTTTGAGAGTCATTGTAGTTCTTTACAAGTGAAAGAACTTGGGGAATATACTTCTCATACAAGATCCATTCGTCGTTGTCAAATTTGCTCGAGCGTTGAGACGGGATCTTCTCAAGCAATAACTCTACGGCCGCCTCAAATTCTTGTTGGGGGTTATCTAACTTGGCCCGGTATCCTGCTTGTACTAGTCGATGGATACGGTAGCTTCTTTGCTGGATATTCCTTCTAACTAGAGAATGGCGAGTTAGCTCTTCTATGGCGTCGCCTAGGCTGTATTTTATTAACACGTATAAAGCCGTTTAAAACAAGCGCTACATACCATAAATCATCAGTACAGAAAGACAATATTCCCGGCAATTTGTCAGGTTGTGCAGCTGTGAAAATGTCTGCAGGAACATCGTCGGCAGCGAGGAAACTCAAAACGCCAAGACAAGCTCGAGCTTGATTTCCTAGAATTGCGAAGGAAATTTCCCATACAGTATCTAAGGCGTGTGGATAACCCAAATATTTGCAGCCGTTCTTCTTCTGTGTATGCAACTGATAGTCATACTTGATGTACGTTGCATAGAAATCAGAGATTGACAAGCCCCTTGCGTTGATAAAAGCAGCCATTTGGTTGAGAGCAAGTGGTAAGCCACCTAATAGCTCAGTGACACGTCGTGCTGCTTCTAGCTCCCCATCGACGCATTGTCTGCTGAGTGCCACGTGGAGTAAAAACTTAGCCCCTTCTTCATTATTGAATTCATTCACCTCAAGTCCAGTGTCAATAGGAAGAGAAGCAACAAGAACATCTCTGGTAGTCACCAGAACGGCACCATGTTTTGAAGCAGGCCAGCAACTTTCAAGGACGCTATGGTCGTCGACATTATCGAATATGAGAAGCCATTTAGCAGCTACCACATAGTTAACAATAGGTTAACGGGCGATGAGTCATGTCTCTTACATGTGTTTTGCAACCAGTCTAGTACCAGGATCATATTTTGCTGGTTTGCTTGTGGAACGGCCCTCGGAAGTTTAAGAGCGCTGATAGCAATCTGACTGAAGCTTTGTTGGATGGTATATGTGTTTTCGGCAGGTATCCAGAATACTGCATCGAGATCACCCAGTCTTTGATACGCATAAGCAAGTGCAATTTGTGTTTTTCCGATGCCACCAAGACCATACAATGCCATAGAAGAAAGGCGAGTACTTGTGTCTGCTGGCTTTAGATAATCTTCTATCTGGTATAGGATATCCTGACGACCATAGAACAGGCGGTTTTCTGCTATAGGGAGAGTATTGCACGGTATTGATCCACCTTCCTTTTGTTGATTCTTCAACGGAAGTATGCTCTGTAGGATCATTTGATACGCCTGTCTCTCTGCTAGCTTCGCTACTCTTTTAATACGCCTTACGGCTTCGGTGATGTTCTGGTAGGCCGCATTGTAAATGTCCGTCAGATCATCAATTGCGCTTTTGTTGAGAAAACCTGTCAGGTTAGCCTGTTACCTCTCCCCGTTGAAGGAAACGCTCGCAACATATTACGTACTTTCGTGCCCCTGACCCTTATTGCGGAATGTCATGATGATGTTGATCCACAGGATGACAATCTCCCTATTTAGCTCTATCATATCATTCTTGACCCTTTCAGAATCTGTAATTCTCTGGTAACAGTCGTTAGAATCCTGCAGTTTGCGACCAATATTTTCCAACCATCTCGTAATATTGTCGAGTGGATTGATTTCTCCTGTGCTCTCTAGAGCAAGCTGCTTGGTAGAAATCAGTATCACACTCCTAGCTAATCTTAGTTACTCAGATATTTCTCTTGCCTTGAAGACTAAGGACAACAATCCCCACATCATGGATGTGTCGATAGGATGGTACATCATGTCCACGAAAATTCGGGCAAAAGTTTCGTAATGATCCAAGGTAGGATAGAGTAGAGTAATCGCAATCCTTGAAGGTTCGTCGGGATATTCGCTTCGCAGCCTTCGCAATTCATGTCGAAAGTCTTCAAGCGAATTGACCTCCAAAGCACGCTCCCAGTCACGTCGCTCTAATTTCTTTTCGCACTCCTTCACTGTCTCATTCCAGGACTCTATATAGATTTCATCACTAATACACATATAATATGTTAGCTACCATAGCCTATTGATCTATATCTTAGGTACCAATGATGGACTCACTACTCGGCCATACTGTTGGTAGTACAAGAGAGGACAGTAGGGAGTTGCATGGTGTTTATCGTAGGAATGCCCTTGGACAGGGGGTAGTTTGTACAATTATTAGTTTGATTAGGGAAAGTAAGGAGTGATCTCTGGGGATATGAAAATCCCCGAGGAGATGTATAAGAGCCTCATTACGTTTTTTAAGGCTTAATACGGTCGGAATTTCTCGGGTTTACCAATACGACCTAATTTGCAGCCTGCTTCTTGACAATTTCTAAATCTAGAAGATGTACGGCTTAAGATTAAAAACCGGCCTCATATCATTACTATTGCTATAAAATGCAATTTTTATAATGTATGGTTACAATAAGGCAGGCTTTGGGGTTAATTGGCAAAAATTACATATATAAATAAATACCTGCAAATATCTAAATAGGATAGGTGCTCTACGGTGTACCATTAATAATACATAACTGATAAAATAAAAAAAGCGGATGAAAATTTCCATTGTGCACTAATATGCTACCGTAGTACACCCACCCCATTTAAATATCTGCAGGTATTTATTTACATGTATAATTTTTGCCAATTAACCCCAAAGCCTGCCTTATTGTAACCATACATTATAAAAATTGCATTTTATAGCAATTGTTGGATTGACTATGTATTACGTAATAATATGAAAGGAAATGCAAATAACGATTGTGTTCTAATTGGTTGTATTGAAGTAAGAAAAGAGGGGTTCCCCCGAGTGGGGAAAGATATCTATTGTACAGATGCGTGGGCTGTGCGTGGGCGGTGTGTGTGGGCATAACCCTGGTCATGTGACGAGGTCACATGACCGTTATCCCAACAGCAATAATAATGATATTAGGCCAGCTTTTAATCTTAAGCCGTACATCTTCTAAATTCAGAAATTATCTCTAATCTCATATGCATTGTAATACAGTTATCACCCTCCCCTTATCCTCATCCTGGTATCAGCAAGTCAACTATCCGCAAATGAACAACGATTACCTCAGGTACAAATATGGGTTACAACACCCTCCCCAGAAGAAAACGGCGTACACCAAAAAATTGTTCCAATGACATAAAAGCAGCCTTTATCGAAAATTGTTCTGGGAAAGGAGATAGGCTCTGTGCTCTAGAAGGTGGTCTGACGATTTTTATACGTATGTCAGAAACTCGTATGCTGGATTACCAAAGAGCTACAGCCGAATTGTTTAACGTTATCCGGAAACCTCGTGCCGATCAACCTTTCTCAGAACGTCAGTTTGAGGTATCTGATAGGATTATCAGCTTAATCAAATCTTCAACCGCTCAGACGACGATAGACGATATTGTAAAACAGATGTTCGATGATTTCAAAACTCCTACGCAAGATGCTGAAACTTGTAAGAATATGATGCGACATTTCGTATTCGCTGTTATCGGCTGGTCTACTTTACTATACACACCAATATTCACAACAGCAGATGCTGACTTCAAGATTGCGGAAACACAATCAAAAAGAAGTCAAGAAAAGCAGTCCATTATACATATCGAGGACTCATCACGGAGACCCATTGGAGCTATGCTCGGTAGTCATGGCCTTGTCCCAATAACTTGTCCACATAATACAAGGTTACCACAAGACTTACCGAGTCGTCTCCCTGTCACTTGTTTGAATCTTTGCTCCCTGTCTCAATTAGGTGGTGTTACGATTCTTTGGGTTGATGATCTCTCGAAGCACTGCGAATTCAGTCGGTATAGTAGAGAGAAACAGTTGAAACTATTTCGTCTGCCCTCACTCTGTGCTAAAATATGTCTGAGCGACGATAGTGAGACTCTGATTGATCGGTAAGATCGTTGAATCTAGAAAATTTCAATAAAATTGTACTGACAATCTCACGTCACATATAGGTTATTCAAGAGCCACATTTGCCGAAATAACTGCCAATTCAACACTAAATCTGTGGGGAAGTCATACCTGACCGAAGTCTTACTGAGTTATCGTTTATTATTCGGACAACATTCCCGTTCTCGCAGACTATTTCGTGGGCAGGAACTCGAAAGGGCGAAGTGGAATGGGACCCTGGACCCCTTACTTGGCGTACTCTGCGGAAATAAAGATGTAGATGATTCTACCGGAATTGTTGAACTCCTTCATGAACGTAACGTTTACAATGTACAAGACAGTTTTCCTCATTTAGGGTTACGACTCGCCGAGCTGGCGGACTATATTTCTGGTCAAGAGCCAAACGACTTCCTTGAAGTATGGAACGATTCACGAAATCCTGAGAAGCTTCTTACCCTGAAGGCTGCTGTAAAGATAGGTGTGGCTACGGTTATCTTAGGCATTTTTCAAGTCCTGCTGGGCACCGCACAGTTGGTAATATCAATTTATAGATAGTAGTAGATGTAGATAGAATTAGATTGCTCTATTAGCTATAAACAGCAGAACGAGTGACAAATCGGATAGATAATTCCTGAAAATCTTCACATGGTCTTCATTCCTCGTGCTTAAAATAAACTTATATTCCCATAAAGTTATGTGTAACTCGGCGATTTCGTAAGTAGAATAATATAAGCTGCTGAAAGCATCCGCTATGCCCATCATGGGAACTAAAGAATTCAACATAACCAAATAACCAAGAACTTCAATTTTCAACTGCAGTGTTCATTCTATGACGTTAGAATGTATATTGCAGAGACTATATGACAGTGTAGATATACCTAAGATAGAATTGTCAACCTGGTGGAGCTGCACCAGTGCCAGCAAGGTAGATCTTGCCACCACGGACGAGAGTTCTTGCCATCTCAGGCTGTTGATGGCTGTCATTGGGTTGGGGTGGGAAGGCAAGGTGTGACTGTGCACGCCAGGTTTGAGGCTTGTACTGAATCGGAGGATACCCAGAACGGTCCATTACAGTCCTCATGTCAAAGTCGCGGTCGAGGCGGAGCAGGCTAAGGACTTCGGGGTCCTTGATCTGAAGTGGGCTCCCGGACATTTTCAGAGTGGCAAGGTCAGGTTAACAGAGTTAAACGAGTAAAACAATAGTGAATTGGAGTTATGCTGTATGATTCCGAGTGGAAAGTTTGAACATAGGCGGGAGTAGGGCGCTATTTGTGTTCCATCAAAATCTCATATGATTGACTCTGCTAGGGCTATAGAGATTCCTCACACTCGGCTCTGCTAAGATCATATACCTATATGCATGCTTACCATCTCTCACGATCTATCTCTATGATAAAGGATCCCGGTTTCATTTCGTTTCTATGCGTGAAAGGTAAAGTGCATATACGCTAGAACCGATTTTGTCCGAGTGGATATAAGCGGACGTGACTTTCAGAAGATAAAGTTGAGGCTCTGCTTCCTTAGCCTTCAGGCAAGACTACGTAGCCGTGTGTCTATATACGGTAACTAACCAGATACAAGATATTGTAAGCTTAGTGACCGACGTAGGAGTTGCAGCCTAATGCTACCTGATAGTTGGAGTTGGCGCCATGCAATAACAGACTTATACCGGGCTTTGCGATTCAATATTTGCACTTGCTGCCCAATGCTGAGTTGAGAAGTTGCACAACCCCAGCTGCTGACCCTACTGTAGCTTCGTGGCATGATCAATGGAAGAATGATATCAGCAGTATGTAGCAGAATGTCGATGTAAGAAAAAACAGAAGCCCAATAACAAGCCGAGTTTCTTGATTAAGACCTTAAGGCCTTTGATAAATGACTCAAAGATAATCCAAAATTATATGTTGCAGTTCTGAAGCATATTTCATTAGGAATATTAGGAATATGTGATGTACCCATAAACAATAGCACATTTAAACCTACAACGTACCTAAAATTATTTTACCGGCTACTCAAGCACTCATGCAATAATATGCATTTGTGTAACTTATAAGTTGATAAGAAATTATGATGTAGGTACCTGGCTACTTCAATTAAGCATCTTGTTATTTCGTAATATTCCTAACTCGTTTCCTTTTACATTCTGAATGTACCAAGGGCCTTGGAGAGGCTTAGAGGTTCCGGCACTTCGTCCATGGTGTACTTGTTGCGCTGCAGAACAACTCCCTGCGAAACTTCTAGTTGATCTATCATTGAACAAATGACCGAAATTGCAACTTGAACCCCATCTTCAATATCATCCTCTGTAGTTTTCAACCCTGCATGGTGCAAGAACAACGCCCGAGGGGTCTCGCCAGCTTCGTACAGTGTAGCAAGCGAAGTGAAGTATATGAATTCACAATACATCAGACCAGCATCTGTAGAAGTCTCTGTTGGTATGTTCTAGCGCACTTGTCTTAGTAATTTCTTTTCTTTTATACGGAAGCCACTTACTGGAAGATCTCTGTGCAATCGCCTTGCAATATGATCGACATCGAAGATGGGTGTTAGAACTTTAGGTATACCTTCCCATCTTCCTCCTTTTCCACCATTATGCTTGGGCAATGGTACTCCGTCATCACCAACCCAATCATAGCCGTCACGTCGTGCCCTTTTTTCAACCTGCCAGAAGTTGGCAAAATTCATGCCTAGATGAAGCATTGCATCAATGTATATTTTCTGACCCTGTCTAGAGCCTGGTTCATAGACCTTCTTTTTACCGCTCCAAAGATCTGGAATATATCTCATATCTTTGATCACGTTTCTGAAGTCAATAGGATACTTGATAATCTTGATGGGAATTCGCCCCTCACGCTCAATCCGAGACGGCAATTTGAGCTTGAGGTCTTGCGTTGGATTTGTTTCGTTCTCCTTGAACGGCTGGAAAACAGAAATGAGCACATGTAATATTATGGGATACCTTATGAGATTTATTCTAACTTACAGCACAGGCTGTGACAACCACATTGTATTCCTTTTCGCGGATCATGGTTGTATTCAAATTAAAGCATGTATACCATATGAATAGCGGTAATATTTCACATATGACTGAGGTCGAAATGGCTAAACTACATGTATCGTATGCTACTAGTAGCAAGAAGTTTGCAGAAATCTTTCAATGGCTGGAATTTATCTATTAAATATGACCAAAATTATATTTAGATAACACTACCTTCAAAATATGCAAGGTAATTATATAGGTACCTACCCACCTACCTAAGGCGTGAATATATTCAACGGCCCCCATTCCTGAAAAGGTGTATTGAAAATATACTCCATTTACGGAATCTCGGGCTAAATTACCAGAATTGCACATCCATAAGAAATGCTATATTGGGTGTTTAAGATGCAGGCTGTCTTAGGTTACAGTATTAATTATACTTCACGGTCGCCTAAAAAACAATTTAACAACTTCTCGGAGTACCTTAGACAAACTATCAACCCGAATAGGAAGGCAAATATACGATAGGACGCATTAACGTGCGTTGTATCAGTACTTATGAGGCTCAAAATGATATTCAAGATAAGTCAAACCACCCTTACTGGGGCCACCTTAGTGGGGGCCACCCATTTCCCATACAAAATCAACGATTTGTCAGATTAGTCAGCCATGTTAGGTGACCTGAAAATCCCTAGTCTCATGTAAAATAGCGGTGTAACACGCGTTCCCACGATTTTACCTCAATCAATCAGATCATCAGGAATATGATGAATTAGACCTCATATAACGTCTTTCCAGTACGTATTAGTTGTGTGACACTTACGAAATAAGCAAAACAGGTGATGTTAATTAATCACGCGTTTGTAAACCACCCAATCAAACAAGCAAGTACCAATAAAGAAGGTTACCTAACCTAATGGATTAATTCACCCGAAGAAGAGATGACCTATCAAAAGGCTGGGCTTGGATCGTTTCATCAGGATGCTACAGTATTATCAGGTGATCCTAGCTAATAATCCTCACCAACATTGAAACCGGCGAAAAATAGTCTGTTGTGAAGAGGGTTGGAATAAAGTAAATGTATTCACGATTGGTTGGGGGAGGGCTTTCAATATAAGGGCGTATTTCATTGGTTATTTCTTATCTTAGCATAGACTATCAATTCCTACATAGGTAGGAATAAATCATCATTAATGCGGCTCTGCTCCGTTATCTTATCTTCTGATGACGTGCATTTTTTTGTTGTGCATATTCGACATGTCACAAACAGATACGTACTAAATACCGGGGTAGGCAATATATGAGGCCTATTTGGTAATATTCTCGATGATCTAATTGATTGAGGTAAAATCGTGGAAACGCGTATTACACCGCTATTTTATATGAGACTAGGGATTTTGGGTTACCTAACATGGCTGACTAATCTAACACGAGATTAATATTTCTTAAGGTAATAAGACAGAGCGGAATACGCACGACAATCCTTCGAGGCTGTGATCGACTGGGATTCCAATGAGTACCTTAGGTACCTACCTAAGGTGATAATGAGGCTCTGCTTCAAGTAGCTTCAAATTCTATCTAGTATCTGAGTGTTAGTTTTCTTCTAGTTATAACCCCCTTTTTCTTTGAACGTCTCACTGTAAGTAGTAGAATACGCCTTTCCCAACATCCACTCTTCTACTGTTAAAGTAAATCTAATTGTAGAAGCTAACATGCAGACTACTATTGATTTTATCGCTGATATTCCTCTATACAGTGAAGAGAAACCTTTCTTTCTTCATCCTTCGGCGACTTCTAAAGTCGGTGTTGACGCCATTAATACAACCAATGTCGAATGGGAGAATAAACCAGTAACCGTGCGTAGTATGCGCAATGATAACGATATCAGTTTGGAGAGAAACGGATTCTGCTACGTCGAGCATGAGTCTAAATATGTCCCAAGTCTTGGAGTAGACACTGAGCTGATGAAAAAGTACCGTGCTGAGAACGAGGAGTTGCTACGGTCTTTCTTCAAAGCAGATTTTGTTCATTGCTATGATTACAAAGTGAGCATGCCAATACTATATTTTGATCTCCACTAACAAGAGTCTAAGATGCGTAAAAATGCTCCGATGGCTCTCGAAAACTATGACCCAAGTGATCCACTTCTAGTAGAGCAGGTTGCCGTGGGCGCACATGGTAAGACTCCTAGGAAACTCATCATACACTGACCTGATTTCTCATAGTCGGTTCGTAGTTTGGCTTAAATATGGCTGGTATTTTCTCATCGTATTTAGACATATCTCTGGATACTGTACCGCGGCTCCTGAAGAATGTTCTCAACGAGGAGCAGCTCCAAACTTTCTTCCAGCCCGGCTACCGTTTTAGGCTAATCAAGTAAGGGCTCTCTTAGGGCAACTGTCGCAATAGTCACTGATCTCTTCTTGCAGTACGTGGCGTCCTATTCTACCCCAGTGCGAAGATCGCCCTCTTGCATTGTGTGACTACAGCTCAATCGACGTAAATGACCTCGTTGCCACGGACAGAGTGTACCCAGATTGGACTCAAGAGATATACTATTTGAAATATAACAAAGATCAGCAATGGTATTGGTTACCTAACCAAAGGTCTAACGAGCCCTTTCTATTCCTCACCTACGACAGCCATTCAGGTTCAAATGCCAGATGTAAGTACGATTATACTAGTATTTAAAGGCCTGGTTTCCACTAACTCCTAGCCTTAGACTGTCCACATGTATCCGTAGAAAACTCGATGGCAATACCCCAAGCACCGCCGCGTGAGAGCGTTGAGACACGGACTTTAGTCATTACGAAACTATGAACACGGTCTAAATACCCCCGTGTATAGCAGCGATACGTGAATCAAGTCTATAGGAAATTAGAAGCGTAGATTCTCAAAAGAAACTTTAATTCAATGATATAACCATATGGTTGCATGGGTGTCGTACGTTCATCTTTATGGAATGGCTGGATGCTGGGATTATAGTATTGCCAGTTTTCATCACGAGGTTTGCTTGCAGACCGGAAAGTAGCTAGGGTCCCAAAGCCAAGCGAATAGCTGTTTGCCGGACGGAATAGGATTGCCGGCAGTCGGAGGGCACGTGCGGTAAAGGTGGGTATCTGAGTCCGGGGTCAGCCATGAGGAGGAGACGGGAAATATGGTAGGGGATATTTAACCCCTGGCTTCCTAGATTCGGGCTCTCGGAACGGAGGCCCCCGGTAGTGTGTGATTGGGACTCAATCATCTAATTGCCGTTTGCTCTATACGATAATTTTATAAGACTTCGAATAGTTCTCGATGCTTGTCAAATTTCCCAGGGGCGGTATATCCGCTGCCAATGCGGACGAACCATTCATATCAGACGGCTACTTCTACACATCATTTCGGTCTATCTGCCGTCGTAGCCAAGTGATACGAGTGGTACAGGTGAACGGTTCTAGTAATTATAGATATCATTACCTTAATTACATATTTCTGGATGAATGCGAAGTGGACAAGACCAGACCGGATATTCTGCCGGCGACGCGGCATAAGCGAATCGCTACTAAAGCTAGAAGCTAGCGTTCTGTATATATGTTGGTCTAGACGTGATTCCATTCGCCTGCCTTTCGGTATCTCTACCGCCTTCTGGCTGCATCACTGATATTGTCACCGACTTCATTATCGATACGATCAAGATGAAGGGATCTTTTCTTTCTCTTATTCTTGCGCTCGCTGCGCCCTCTCAGGCGTACCTCCGCTTCGGGTGTGCTACTCTCAGCGTCCAGCGTTTAGACCCTCTGGTTCAACCTGGTGTCATCCCTTCGGCACATCTCCACCAGATCGTTGGTGGAAATGGCTTTAACGCAACCATGGACCCTACGAAGGACGTCAGTCAGAGGGCTACCTGCACAACCTGCACATTTTCCGAGGACTTTTCTAACTACTGGACCGCTGTCCTATACTTTAAAGCCCGTAATGGAACATACAAGCGTGTGCCCCAGTATCCAAATGCCCTATTAGGTAATATTAAGGGCGGAATGACCGTCTATTATATCCAGGAGTCGTTCAGCTCGAACGGAAACCAGAAAATCACAGCTTTCAAGCCTGTATGTCTATTTCCCCTCTTGGCATAACGGGCCGCCTAACAACTCTAGGGATTCCGCATGACAGTTGGATCACCAGAGAGCAAGGACGGTACCAACCCAGGCCTACGTTATACCTGTCTGCAAGATGTTATGACGAGGTTTCCCGAAACCGCCGAGTTCCCTAAGCAGCCGTGCAAAGCGGGCATCATGGCTATTCACCACTTCCCAGCGTTAGTAAGCTTACACCTAGTTATAATCCCTATCTACTAATCGCTGTGTAGATGCTGGGACGGCAAGAACCTCGACAGCCCTAACCACCAAGACCACATGTACAATACGAACAAGGGGGCATTCACAACTGCTGGACCCTGCCCGGCGTCGCATCCTGTTCGTGTGCCCCAAGTTGCCTATGAGACCATGTGGGACACGACTCCATTCAACGACAAGTCTCTGTGGCCCGCGGACGGTTCTCAGCCCTTCGTATGGAGTTACGAAGACAGCGTAGGTTACGGTACTCACGGGGACTACCTCTTCGGCTGGAAGGGTGATGCTCTTCAGCGCGCTATGGACTCCAAGCCTCTACTAAGCAACGGAATTACAATTCAGAGCGTAGACCAGGCTAATAAATGCACCATCAAGAGCACTGTCAATGAGGATATCGACGGATGTAAGTAGTTGCGCGACCGATTAATCTACTCTGAACTAATGAATCATCTCGTAGGGGTCACTAGTCTACCTGGCAGACACATGAATATGTAGGAATGTATTTGGGTTTAATTAAGAAGTGGTTTTTATGATAGGGCCTGAAGAACAATACTAGGATTTATATTCTATGATGTTTGATATTAGAGAAGCATCTATTCTTTTCGGAAGATGGATATCATTATAATTTGCTAGTTGTGGTATCAATCTGGAGACTTAATTTCGAATCTTGGACATGATTCAGGCTTTGGGTTCCCATGTGCTGATCTGACACATAACTATTAAGTATCTTGGTGGCGCCGTGACATCTATGTCAATATGGACCTTTCTAGCCATACTCGGAGAAGAATATGTAGTATCCGGTACCTACGTTATAAATACAAGTTAGTAGCATATTATAATCTAATACTGACAAGCATGCCAACCAAATATCAACCGTCGGGCTTCCATAATGATTATGTCCAACATGTCATCTTTGAGCAACAGTCTGGGACGATACTTCTTAAATCATATATAGGTAACTATCCCTATCCCTATCAGCCCCCGGACTGAATCGAACATATATATATATATGACTCCATAAAGAACTGTAAGAATATGTATAGGTGCCTAATGAAAACATAGTAAAAATACGGTGGGAATAAATCAGCCCAAATAAATCAGCGTTTCGGCTACGGAATACGTTTATTTCTGCCACCTAGGTAGTCGTCTAGTTACAGATTAGTTCCTACTAATCCCAACGATGAACAATAATATATTAATAGTTTATAAGTCGACTATGACAATGCTGTTCCCTGTATCTTGTAAAACGTTATGAAATATTTCAGGTACCGAAATATATATAGGAGGGTCACTGTAGATTTTACTTTAAGTTAAATACTTTACGGAGGACTTCATCATTCTGTTATATCTATCTGACCAGCCTCATTACTTTCTCCGTCTGAGCCCGAGATAAGTGTAAGTATGTGAGCAAATGTGAGAAAATAACTCAGTTGTTTAGAAACCCATAACGATGAGCCTATCTGAATTTGAATTACCGACACAGTTTCAAGATTTCATGCCAAAGACTTTTAAAGAGTAGTCTGAGAGCATAATACTAATATCATATCACGATAGCTCCAATAATTAACATGTATAAACAAGATATCCCTGTATAAAAATCGCATATCTCCCTAAGACGTTGGTTTAGCTAATGCTGGAGACTTGTGACACTGTTCTTGCACCCTAATCATTGCTAGGCATCTTATAGCAGGTTATTACCCGTATTATATTTCCCAAAAAATAGTAGCGTCCAGGGATTTCGCTATGGCCAACGATTGGTTTAGCCCAGTTTCACCGAAACGTACTTATTCCAACATACCTAAAACATATTCGTGTATATTTTAGGGGAAAAGCTAGTTATCGAAGATATCGCATATCTATTACTATTAATTACTATGTTGGCCGTCGGGTTCTTTAAGTGTCATATGTGGGCCGAGTGCTAGTCCGGATTACTATGGATCTGGGAACAGCGGATCTGGGTCGTCGTAAGGGATAAGAACAGTACCAGGGTAAACTTGCTTTTATTTCTCAGAATATAATATGTTAAAACATCAATATCACAATACCGAATAACCGAGTTTGATATCTAGGTGGCCGGGACTAAGAACAAAACGTAGACCACCGCGCTCATTTGGAATTGTCTACGTTCTTACATCATTTAAGTCGTAAAGAAAGAACCATTGTCCTAGTCGAAACTAGTACGAAAAAGACTTCAAGGAGTTATAATTCCAATCAGAACTTATTCCTTGAGTACCTAATACAATGTAATACCTACTCGCCGCTACGAGTATTATAATACAAGGCTGTACGGTCGGTGGCCCCGCTAAGTCCGCTCCCGCTAACTTTCGGTGTAATAGGGGTAGTTTAGGGGTAGTTGATGCACCGAACAGAGTTCTCTAATGTGGCTTTACGGGGAAGGTGATTGTAGATACTTGGGTTAGGTATTACAAGCTACACACTTAAGATACATGTAGGTAGTCTTCTCGTATAAAAAGTTCATAATACATAAATGACGATTCAACTTTGACCCTGTTTATTCGCAGGCATTTTTCTACATATCTTCAACATTCTGACTTTGAATAACATTTGAACCCGAAAATGAAATATGCACAGTGCGCTTCTTGCGCTGGCCTATTAGGTACCTACCTACCTACCTACCTACCTACCTACGTATTCTAGTGAAACTGAAGCGGAAGGGCAAGCTCCTTTTATCAATGTCGAGTGTTCTTAGAAGGTCTAAACATTTAACGCCAAAAAAGCCACTTACTCAAATCAGTGCGGTGTAACCTTTCCGCTTTGCAATTGCACCCAATGGTGACAACCTAATGACAACCGTGCTCCTATGGATCCCACTTAAAGCTAAAGTGCCGATGTAACCCCTCAAAGGAAACCTAGCCAAACGCGATTCAGCCAAATTCTCCTAATTGCCAAGATTGCGAACCAAGACCTCCAATCCGAAGTTCTAGACGGTTGGTTACAAAGTCGCAGACGGGGTCTATGCGAGGCAAGCCCGTTATGAATATCTGGCTGGGACTGATGAATTTGCGTTCGAGTTCCGATGGATGCATCTTCACCCCAGAGTGATCCAAGGTAAGAAAGACGAAAAAGAACAAACAATAAATTTAGCCTTGCGCCCGCTAACACGCGCATCAACTTGTTTGGAGATTAAGGTCTAAGACTTGGTATCAATGGCTCTTGCATCCGCGTCGTCATATAGAATCGACACGTGAATTAGACCCCGCGAGCGAAGCTCCGGCGGGTGATTCTCGATTCGCTATGACGCCGTTTCTCAAGGGCCTCCCGCGGCGGCGGCGATTCCTTATCGTCATACCCGTGCTGGCGTTATTAGTCTGGGCCTTGCTCCCCACCAGGTTGAATTCTCCGAATACATTCTTGCACACTTTCAGGGGCTCATTAGGGAAATCTAGCGATGACGTTTTACGATACATAGACCCCCTCATCGGCACCGTGAATGGAGGTAGGTAGCGCGCATCAGTTAAATCTATCGCCGAAGAGCTTCGACTAAGTTCACTTTTTTAGGTCACGTCTTCCCTGGCGCAACTCTGCCGTATGGTATGTCGCTTAAGATACTACGCGCTTAAAAACTTCCTAGGTACTTACTGGCTATATAGGTATGGCAAAGGCCGTAGCGGACTCGAGTGATCGTGGAGAAATCGCCGCAGGATTTGTCTCGGACGACTCTGACATCCAGGGCTTTTCTCACTTACACGATTCGGGTACTGGAGGGGTGAGTTGATGGATGCTACCCCCCGAACGAATCTAACTTGCTATAGAGCCCTTCATTGGGAAACTTTCCTCTTTTCGTACATCCGGGATGTCCCGAGGATGACTTCGCGCAGTGCAAATATACATATATCGGTAGAAGTGTTCCGAGAATTGACGGGTCCGCTACGGCACGCCCAGGATACTTCGCTATTGGCCTCAATAATTCGGTCCACGCGGAGATGACGGCGACCCAACACGCCACGCTCTACAGATTTAGCCTCCCTAAAGATTCAGAGGTAGTGTCACATAAGGTCATGGTACCTACTAATCCTCTGGTTTTGCTGGATTTAATGGATCTTAGTAACTCTCGAACCGGAGGTGACATTCAAGTAAACCCGGAAACGGGAAGAATAACAGGAAATGGGTCGTTTAGCCCGTCATTTGGCAGCGGAGCGTACACTGCACATGTCTGCGCCGATTTCCGAGGCGCCGATATCCGGAAGACGGGGATTTTCCTACAAACCAATGTGACCGATGAGGTTCAGGCCATGGGACATCTAGGAAGTAATTTTTACATTCCTTCTGGCTCGGCGGGGGCTTGGATACACTTCGCGCACTCGGATCAGATCATGGTTCGGGTGGGACTGTCGTTCATATCGGTCGAGCAAGCTTGCCACAACGCGGAGATCGAAATCCCAGACTTCGGCTTCGAGGACGTGGTAAAGGCTGCTAAGAATGCCTGGAAAGAAAAGTTGTCCGTGATCAAACCCGACTCCTCGGGTATGAGCCACGAATTCCTGACCACATTTTGGTCGGGGCTCTACCGCGCACTGATCTCGCCTCAAGATTACACAGGTGAAAACCAGCTCTGGAAATCCGACGAGCCGTATTATGACTCTTTTTATTGCATATGGGACTCGTTCCGTGCACAGCACCCCCTCCTTACCATTATCGACCCCTCGATCCAAACGAAGATGGTGAGGTCGCTAATCGACACGTACAAACACGAAGGGAAGTTACCAGATTGCCGCATGAGTTTTAGCAAAGGTTATACCCAGGGAGGTTCGAATGCCGATGTGGTTCTCGCAGATGCCTTTATTAAAAACCTCACGGAGGGTATCGACTGGAATCTCGGCTACGAGGCAGTCGTCTCCGATGCGGAGGTAGAGCCGAAAGATTGGTCTACGACTGGCCGCGGTAGTCTCGTGAGCTGGCACACGCTGGGTTACGTACCATACGACGACAACGACAAAAATGGGACGGGACCTATGAGTCGAGGCATTTCACGGACGGTAGAATACGCGTACGATGACTTCGTGATTGCGTTGATGGCACGGGGGCTTGGCCACAAGAATGACGAGACTAAGTACCTGCAGCGCAGTCGGAACTGGAAGAATCTTTTCAACCCGGAGCAGGAGGACCGGCATCGCGACGAAGCCGGTAATGTGCAAATGTCAGCGTTCAAGGGCTTTCTACAACCACGGTTCCGAAATGGTACCTGGCGATATCAAGTTAGTATCTGAGATTTCCCCTCCTGATACCCATCCTTAAGTGAAATTCTGAATCACCACTCCCGACCGTTTCCTATCTACTTAGAATAGAACATTGCTGACTCTAACCCTCTCATTAGAACACACGGCTTTGCAGCCCCATATACCAACAACATAGTTGCTATTTTGACACGCAGTACGAGACATACGAGGGGAGTCCGTGGCTGTACACATTTTATGTACCACAAGACATGGCCGCGCTTATAGAAGCGTTAGGAGGACATGAGACTTTCATCGAGCGGCTTGACTACTTCCACTCGTCAGGTATTAACTACATGGGCAACGAACCCAACTTCCTAACGACGTTTCAATTTCATTATGGTGGACGGCCCGGCCGCAGCAATTACTGGCTGCACCAATATATCCCAGGGCAGTTCAACAATAGTATCAACGGGATCCCTGGTAACGACGACTGCGCCATGGGAGCCTTTACAGCATTCGCATTTATGGGCTTTTACCCAGTTGCCGGCCAGAATGTGTACCTGCTTACGGCACCCATGTTCCGGCAGCTCAGTATCCAAACACCATCGGGGAAGCCGGCGATATTGCGAAACGTTGGTGGATTTGACGCGCCACAGTATCGCAATATCTACATTCAAAGTGCTAGCTTAGACGGGAAGCCATATACGCGAAATTGGATCACGCATGACTTCTTCACGAATGGAGGCACGCTAGAATTTGTATTAGGATCCTCGGAGAGCGATTGGGGAACGAGAGACGAGGATCTGCCACCTAGTTTATCGACGGGGATGTTGGATTGATTTAATAAATAAAGCTGGTTGATGATTACTGTCGAGGTTGAGGAATATAGATGGAAAGGATTTTAATTAAAAGGGATACAACTTCAAATCGTAAGACGTACTTAAAAGGTATGGTTACCCGCAGCACCTCAGCTGTCAGTTCTTATTTGCAGGCAATGGATACCAGGTATATACCAATCACCGGGACAGAGCTTCAATTGGAATTACACAGATAGGATGACGAAGGAAAAGACAAAAAAAAGAACTCTCAGTCGGGGAATTGAACCCCGGTCACAGGCGTGACAAGCCCGTATCCTAACCACTAGACGAACTGAGACTTAGCTGTGAATAATACTCGATTCACATGATTGATGTTTCGAAGGTACAATGCGACCTTAAGTAGACTGTTTTGAGGCAGGCACCTACTGGTCGTTTAACTGGTTGTTTAAAACTAGAAGTCTCGGGATGCTTTGCGTGTAGGGTAAGGGCTAGGTAGTTACGCCGTGGGTCTAGAGTAAAGGGCAAGTAGACTTTCACGCGCTTATGAAGTTGCAACTACCCGGCCAAGTGGCTTCCATAGGTACTTTAACTAAGGGGTTTCTTCAGGAAGCTCATTATCACAAGTAAGATATATCATACGGGTACCCGAAATTCGACGGGAGCATGCAGCATCCTCCGGCTATATGGCATATGATACCCACACCCGACCTGATCAAGCTGATGGCAGTTCTAACATGCAGGCACTGTAAAGAGGATAAGATACGGGACGCGGGAAAATATAAGACAAATATTATTAACACCTTATCATTTACATCCAGGTCAGCGCCCACTATATCTAAGGAAAATAAAGAACTATTCCTCGTCATCATCTTCACCCTCTTGCTCTTCAGTCCCGCCGTCGGCCTCATCGGAATCGCTCTCGGCGTTAGGGTCCGGCCTAACGACGCTGTTGAGAAACGTGACCTGTGTTGGTATCCCAGTTAATCCGTATGATCCGTATGATCCGTATAAACAAGTCAAAAGAAATGGACACGACTCACAAATTCGACCATAGCGGAAATAACACTCATTACTTTATCCTGCGCGTCATCGGCGAGAAGGTCCGAGTCGTCGATCTGCGTGCTAACAGTGTAGTTCCGCAGTTTGAGAAGCTCTATATATTTATGATCCGGATGGAAGCCCTGCTTTAGTGAGCATACTGTACTAGAAACGGCCTCAGAACTAGAAGAGTGGTTGGTACCTTTGGTTTCGTCTTGAGCGCATTTTCCTGGTTCTTCGCCGCGAACGCCGCCATCACAGACTTTTCGTTGCCGGACTTTGCGTCGGGTAGAAATGTCTTCCGAAATGTAGGATTCATTAGGACTCGACTTATACGATGGGGGCGCTCGTCGACGCTCGCGCGCAATCGGGCTAACGCGTCGGCCTCTGGATGCCATACGCCTCCACCTATCATACACCGACCGGGCTCGACATGCACGTAATAGCAAGCGTACGGGCCTTTTCGACCAGTTCGTGACCATGCTGCAGAATAGTGAGGCTATTTATACGGAATTTTCCTTGTTAGAATAGAATTCTGTTTTGGGTGAAGAGATAGAAAAATGAAAGGGGCAGACACACCTTATACGGAGTCTGATCTTTACTGAATCTGACGTCTCGGTATATCCGGAAGATAACATCTTTCACTGGCAACCATGGAATAGTCTCATCCGCCTCGATGATCTTCTCTGTAAGGGTCTCTACGAATGATTCCCAGTCTTTGAGTGACCTTCTATATTCCTCATCGTGTGCTACAAGCGGTTACACCCTGTTAGATAAAGAAAGGGTAGATGCGAGCAACGGGGACTGCGGAAAAGTCCTTGATTGTGAAAAATGTACATACATTTAAGCCAACTGCGTTGGTTGTTAGCTTTGAGGTCTTCTAGAAACAAGAAAGTGTTTTTATGGAGTCGGGTATCCTCATATTCGACGCCGTCGGTATCTCTTAATTGTATTGCTACAATCCTTTAATCAGAATCAACGCTACATATTGTCATTTCGATGCGTTGAAGCACCGAAACGTAGAACAAGTTCTTACCTGGAATGAAGGTAATGCGGTTTTCGTCATCATCATCATCATCGTCGTCGTCGCTATCTTCCTCGACTACTGACTTCTCGGAGTCAACCTCCTTTTCCCTCTTGGCCTTATTCCGAGTCTTTGCTATGGCCTTTGTCCTTTCTAGATTTTGGGGGTTTTTATTAGACTTCTTTGTAGTCTCGGTCCGGGTTTTCGAAGGTCTCCCACGACCTCGCTTCTGTATCACGGGTCGTTCTGCTTCACTTTCAGGGTTGTCCTCAGCAAACGCGGCATCCCGGTCATCATCCTCGGATGTATCTTTAACATTTTCATACTGTAATTCGTCATCCGATTCTTCCACTCGAGCTTTTCTTCGTCCAGAAGGTTTCCCCCCAGCCCCGGTTTTTACAATCTTACGAGGTGGTAGCTCTTCATCTGAGTTGTCATTGTCCTCGAAGTATGTACTCTTCTTACTGCTGAGGCTAATGCGGTGAGATCTGCGACGGGATTTGCCCGTAGCCTCCAAAGTAGAACGTTTAGCTACGGTACCTTTTTTGGCGGGCATAACTTAATTGTATGAATTTGCTTTTGTCTTCGGAATGTTAGTTGGTTTCTTAAGGTCAAGATATAGATATAATGAAATTCGGAGACAGTTGGTGACGCGTTGAGGAGAATCGCGGGGTGGCAATGGGGGACACGCTATCACGTGATTACTTCACTGCTAGACGCAGTATCACATGCACTTTGTACGGATTACATAAGTCGGTCTCTTATCACTTAAAAATAGAAATGTCAATCGCCGCTAATCTTAGATTCAATTATATAGCCGCAACCTTCAACTACGAATGTATTCCGTACCTAAATAGTTCATGTTGGTTTAAATGGGAAATGTTAATAGGGTAGGTGCTCATTGTTTAGCTGCGATCACTATATTTCTTTGCTATTTTGGGGCGAACCTGTGCCGCTCCCACCCGATCCGCATTCCCATGCATAGATTAACTTCCTGGGGTGTTATTAATAGTCGGAACGTATTGCTCCTTCCAAGCACCACCGCCGTGATAGGCCCTTGTTTGAGATCCTCATAATACCTCGACCTGACAGCGGCACATACGTTTATCGTCCTTTTCGGATCCGCGACGTCCGGCACGGTTGTTCATTGTGGCTGGTACTCGACAATGCTTAGCATATAATCGTTCCCAAACTTCTAAGGACCTCGGTTAGATGGTCAGGATCAAAGCGAGCATTTAGTCCCGAATCTATACTCGGCTAGAATGACCCGCACTAGTCATCAAACGCCCCCAACTATCACCAAGCCGCTTCGTTAGTAACTCCCGTTGCAGTCTGGTCAGCCAAGCCCCGAATTGGGTCCCATCCGACCTAGTGGTGTTCTATCCCGCGGCTTCTCTATCAAGTCCGCGTATCCCTCCAACCCGGCGCCGATCACTTTTACAATATCAAAGATATGTGATCCCTTAAACGTCTCAGCCCAGAGCCGAATTACGGCTACGGCAAGCTGACGTAACTTCGTACCGTCGTTCGCAGCCATATCCATGTTTGGTGGACCATGCCCCGGGCCGCCTCCTGAGAGCGAAGGGTCAATCGGCACCGCAAACTCTGTTTCATCCAGCATGTGACGGAGCATTTCGAGAAGGTTTCGTTCATCGGGCTCAGGAGGCGCACCTGTCGGGCCGGTCGAAGCAAGAGTCATTAGCCATTTCGAAAGGAGTATAGCGCATTCCAAATTGCATACTGCGCCGACGTTAGCCACCGTATTCTTTTACCATACTCTCGAACTTTTCCGTAAATACTTACACGAATGCTGCATGCTCCATTCCGATGACTTCCTTCTTGCTACATAATTGACACCTACTTTAACAAGCATAGACAATGCATGTATGGCTTGAAAGACGGCTCGGTTGAGGCGCACACTGCGAACGAGATACGGCGCGTCATGGAAAGATTGTGCGATCTGACTCGCTTCTCTTGTTTCGAGGGTTCTGCTAGGACTCAAATCTGTATACAACCGGATAGAAGCCAACCGCCAAAGTGCGGTTGAATTATAAGTAACAGAGCCACCGGGAAATGAATCTGGGCCGTTCTGGTGGCTGCCTTCTGTTATGCGCGCCTGGTGCTGTTCGAAACTCATCTGCCAGATCCGTAGGGCCTGAAAACAATCTTCGACATCGTCATGACGAAGTCCCCCAAAAAGTGACACGGAATTAAAAGATGTCTGCTTCAGGAGAAATATATGTTGTAATATGGCGTGGATGAGGATGTAATTACCGAGAGAGGACATGTAAGCTGGAGGTCCTTGTGGTGGTCTGCTGAATAATCTCGCAAACGCATCCTGGAGCGATATATCCATACTAGGGAATGATTGACGAGCTTCTTGCCACTGCCAAGCTGTTTCCGCCCTCCAGAGTTTTGATGAGTGCGGGAGAATAAGGTTAAGTTCCGACGTCAATAGTAGAGGTGGCATATTATACGCAATACTACACAGATTGAAGAAACTGTACGCGATGAGCTTTGTGCGATTAGATCCTTCTATCCGGACCCATGCCTCCCAATCGGCCGTCTGCGTGGACTCTGACAGAAATCCTTCCTCGCGCACTAGGAGAGCTAGAAGACTTTGTAATGACAAAGCTTCTCGAAGAATAGCTTTGGCGCCCCAGAGCCCAACAGCAAACAATAGAAGAAGAGCCTGGATAGTTTCCATGCGAGATTGAGGAGTATTGGGAGAACTTAAAGAAATTAGTCACGTATTGAAAAGATGCATGTAGCTGGGTTTTCTTACTAAGGCTCTCGGTGCGTATCTTGAGTCATCGAACGTTCCTGTTGAACAGAACTAAAGGAATGGCGGAATCCATGGCTTGGAGATGGCCGCGTAGAATGAGGACTATACGCCGCTGGAGTTGGTAACAAACCGTGCACTTCGTGACTATGGCGACGCCGTATTTGTTCAAGCGCTACTGCTTTAGCCGCGTACCATAAAGCATTTGATCGATGACTCTCAAATCTATATTGTGCACCTACTGCTAATATCGCCAGTAGGAGTTCCGGGGCGAGATCGGCGGCTGTTATCGTTGGCAGATGCAGTATCGGCAAGTGTTCATGAAAACCGCTTACATACCCTTCTAGAAACCTAGTGAGTGTATGCCGAGAAGGAAACACGAAATCATTCGGCAAAACGGATGAGAATTCGTCCAGTCGATTTTTTATGACGGTATGGTCCATTGCAGAAACCCTCATGGGCTGTGATCTTGTTGATTCGTCATGTGTTCTGGGGCCACCTTCCGTTGGATCTCTCGGGTCAGGGGCTAATGATGGGAACCGAGAGGGGAATTGGGAGGATGGCTTGGAAAGCCCACCCCGTTGAATATCGGAAAGATGTCGCGGCCACATACCCATACTCTGATCCGCGTCGAAGGCTTGTGGGAGGAAGTGAGACGACGTCGCAAACTCGTCCAAGAAGAGATTATAATCGTCAAAAGCGGACGGCCCGGCTGGATTGGGTAGTCCGTGTGACATAGCCACAGCTTCAGGCTCACGTCCACGGTCGGTATATGGTATTCCTTCGTCGTATGACTTAATGCGTGTCAAGCCGGCCACTGGTTGTCCAATGTCTGTCATCATCGGTTGCATCGAGTTAACCTCGTTCGCAGAAGCAATTTGGGTGGCCGCATCAGACAAAAGGTCCAGATTACAAGCTGTAGCCCTGGAGGAGTGACGAGGATCAGGAGCAAGTGGAGGTACTGTCACAGAAGAGGACATGGAGTCTGAATGATAGTGTGCCGGGTGAGCCCGAGGCATTCCCATCATTTCGGAGTCGACATGGCTCTCAGCTGATAGAGGCGGTTGGGCAGCGCTGGCCGTCGACGGTTTCCGGGGCCGGTTGCCATCCTTATTAGACCCTTCGTTGAGATGAACGAGTTTCTCGTGGCGGACGAGGAGATCCCTGATGTCCATATAAGCATATTCACAAGAGGATGAGAGAAGGTGGAGGTTAAGAGGCCACCAGTAGGGAATTATAGAGGGGAATAGGAGGTTTCAGGGCTGTAAGACATGTGTGGTGTGTATGTGTGTATCCTATTTGCAAAAGACCTGGAGGACCTAAGGAATCTGAGGAGGGGGGATGGGGGTAGTTTAGCGCCTACAAAAAACGATAAATGGTTGGACGGCGGTAGGCAAGGCGAAGTCCACCACCACAAATGGGAAATTGGTAACTTAGGTAGTCAAGGTCAGAATAAATAAAGGAACAAATTAACTAACCGACGTCCAAACGTCTTCCCGCAGCGAGCCCACCCGCACGAGAATGGTTTCTCTTTAGTATGAGTTCTCTCATGACGTTGAACATGCTCTACACGCCTAATTAGGGGATCGCCGTGTAAGTAAATTGCCAACGAATATAGATATAGTGCAAGACGATAAATAGGTCTAGGGACCCTTACCTAAAGCGTTTGTCGCAGAACTTGCATGGTAGGGTTTTGGGCTTCTGCTGCCGGCCTTCCACGCTGTCCTCGGCCGTACCAGTGATGCCAGAGCCTTCTATGGACGGCATGGTTCTCATTTGGGGTCAGGATAAGTTAACAATAATTAGTATAAGGTAAGTCCCTGTACAAAATATGGGTGTAATGCAGATGAAGTCACGCAACACCCGGAAGTGGGGGGTAAGTCGGAAGGGTATAAATTCCAGGGCCAGGAAGTTATGCCGGAAAGAGGAATGAATGTCTTGCGGGGTGGACAGTGGATGGATGAATTCATAGGCGTGATAGATGTATGTAGTATCAATCGATTCTAAGTATACTCGGAACGTAACGCGAGATTCCACCACATTTGTCCTCACTGCCTCCCCCAAGTGATCGGCCGCTCGCCGAGCTGGCGGCCAAAGTGGTGATCAACAGAGCTCGGAGATCCTGAAGGGTTTGGCTGACCGTACGAAACTAGTAGGGCTGAGGTAACCAACCTGTCAACGCCTGGTAACAAACAAGGCTGCGATTCGATACGTTTTTCACGGAGAACCAGGACTAACGAGCCTGGGCTAATTCACCGACCAGGAGGAGAACCGCTAATGGTAGGCTTATTGGTCGATGATGGTCGCGCGGAGAAGGTGATAGTATTAAGTATGTGATGTATTTTGAAATTCTACGGCCGAGATTGAATTGGAGATTATAATGCTCAAGCGACAGGAAGATACATTTGTAATAAGACTAATGGATTAAGAGAAAAAACGAATGAGATGGGCGAACGGTATGGTAAACTTAGATGAGATGGACAAGGTGACAGGATTGACGATGGTTGAATTCGGGGTCATGCTAAATTGTTATGTGCAAGATGAGGAGTGAGGAGGAGGATTGTGAGGAGGAGAATTGTAAGGAGGGGGACGGAGAGGAGGATGCGGAGATGGGGGAAATCATTAGGTTGTAACTTAATTTTTTAGTGAAGGAAACGCCTGTAGTAACGGGGTAGCCACCGCCGGCCTCCCTGCGAGTGAAACCCGAACCTGCCATGAGAAGCAATAGAGAAAAGTGGCGCCGGGTCAGAAACGATAGACTTTACTTACACCGACTCCAACTTACATATATGTGACATATGTGACATAGGTGACTTTCTTCCTTTATGTTCTTATATTATTTACCTGGTAGATGTACATTTGTGTCTGTGTTAAGCCCCTATTCCACCTAGGTACATAATCTAT